AGTGCGTTTCGTAGAGTTTGGGGGTGTCCATTCGGGGAATCTCGTCGCCTTGAGCTGGGCCCAGATCCTGTGGTGGCGGCCAAGTCTGCGGGGCCCGTGGATGCACTGCAACGCTGTCTTTGGATGGCCACCCCAAAGATCGACAACCCTCCCCCCGAGAAGGGCATTTGTGGAGTAACTGGGCAAATCTTGGGGAATTGATCATTCTTGTCTGGATGTCCCATGGACCGAAGTTTCCATAGATGGCTCCGTGGTTCGCCCCCCCCCCCCCCCTCCTGGTCAGGGGGGGAATGCGCTGCTGAACTGGCCAGCCAAGGTGACCTTATCAGAGCCACCAGGGGCGTCCTTTTGGTTCTATGCACGGCCAACGTGTCCGAGCATCATGGTCAGCTGTAGGCGCATGCCCGTTTTCAGGTTCCGCTGAACGAGGACCGGGCCGCATTCCCCAAGATTGCGCAGCCGTTGTGCATGGAGCGGCCGCGGCACTCAGATCGCGAGACGGTCGAAAGCAGCAGACTGGACACTGGAGACAGATCCATCTCGCTACCAACCACGCGGCTTAGAACATCCATTCGAGTAAAGTTTGCCAGAGCACGTTCGGAAGAGATCGTTCGATGGGTGATCATAGGAAGGTGCAAGGAAATGTGTGGTTTGATGCCTGAGCTCATGAAACTGCCGAGCGTCAGTCTTCGCCAGGGACGCCGGCAGGGTGGAGGGTGGCACCTGCTTATGATGAGTTTCTTGAAGTTTTTCGGGCTGTTGTCTCTTTCCTGACACCCGGGGGGGAATTTCGCGACGTGTTCGATGACTTCGAGAAAACTTTAGGGCACCCAGAGGACGGACCCGTAATCCTTGTCGACATGTGTTCAGGCGGACGTCAAACAGGTGGCAGTGCGTAGATCGCGGTAGAGTTACCGCGCACCTTGCGAAGTACAATATGGGGCCTTGCGCGCCCTTGCCCAGATCCTTTGCCACCGTTTCGAGTCCCTCTCAGCAGCCCCCCCCTCTCCACAGCTTGTGGGTTGGTCGCCTCGAGACCACGGGGGCGGCTGTAGTTGTGTGTGCGTTTGTGCGTGTGTGTGTTGTTGGGTCGTGTTCAACGGGCGGACCCCAACATCTGTGATTTGCATGTCACAACATCAAGCGAATTCACCTCCGCATGTTGAAACATTGCAGTCTTCCCCTGCCCTGGAGGCGTGCGATTCTCTAAGCCATGGCGCATCAGGGTCAGTCAGAATTCATTCTAGTTTTTCTGCGGCAGTTGAGTTGTCTTGCCATGGTGTACTGGTGTACTGCGCTGATCTAATTTCCATACCGTTTTTGACGCTGGAGGTGTTGCACGTACTTGGCCAGTTTCTCGCAATTGTTCGGCCCCGCAAGGGGGCAGACAGGAGGCTCCGATCTAGGATCGTCTCGTTCAGCAGGCGGGGGAGGAGCCGCAGCAAGGGGAGGGGGCGGAGATTTATGGGTGTCGCTTGGGTCGAAAGTTTGCCCATTTGCAGGCTGCATGCTGATGCCCCTGCTGGGAGGCTCTGGAGGCGAAGGGTTCGGGGCGCGTGCGCTGAGGCGGGTATAGGAAGCCCCTGCGCGCCTGAAACTGCCGGGAACGGGCGGTCATCGCTAGGCAATGGGGGGGGACAGGCGCCATTCGGATTCGTCTTGGCGGCTGCATCAACTTTTCTCTAGGCGTCTGGGGGCCCTCGCCCGGCGTCGGGACCGTCGAGAACCGATCTTGGACGAGAAATCGGCCTCTGGAGAAGTTGTTCCAGAGCTTTGCAGGAACATGTATTGCACAAATCAAGACATCGGCAGGTCCAGGGTTCATTGCGTATATCCAGGTGCTCCGGTCGCCCATGTCTTCGGCCAGGCTTCTCGGCGCATGCGTGCAAAGGCCGCCCCAGGTTTATATCCACCTTATTGGCATTCGTGGATCTGTCTTCGTCCCGGCGTCATCATCCATCTCTCTTCCTCGTGTTTCTCTTTGTCCGCCGCAACAGTACGAATATCCAGCAATGCTCTGCGGCCGTCTCCTGCACGAGAGCTGCTGGCGGGGTACTCGCGGTGGATATAAAAAGAAGATCTATGCGCGTCCGCGTGTGTTCGACACGTGTCGGCAAGGTGTACCGAGCAATCCGTTCGAGATCCGCACGAGCAGCATGTGATGTAGTTTACACAGATGGATGGCATCCCGTTTCAACATGTGGTTTTCCCCTTGCCGCGCACATACCGTCCGAATGTGTGTGCGTGTGGCAGCTTGCTTAAACTGTGGAGTGCGGTGTGTGTGTGTGTGTGCGTGTGTGTGTGCGTGTGGTTCAATGAATCCTTGATTCTCGTTTGGGGCCGTGTTCATTCGTATTCAAATTTGCCAGGCTCATCCCAGCGCACTGCGCATTCGTATGGAAGTTCGCCCGCATATACATAGTCGGAGGGCGCCCTGTGTCCAACAGTGGATTTGCGCGAGTGGTAACAGGGCGTGACATGAAGTGCACGCAATGGGGCGCTCGTCCGTCAAGGTTCCTCTCCTCGTAGTGGACCTTGAGGAAGCTTCGATTTCAGACACTGGGGGCCGGGAGGGTGTATTGCAGCACCCCCTCTTCCGCCTCCTCCTCCTCTCTCTCGCGCCCTCTCTCTCATTCTTTCGCCTCCAGGCACGCTCCACCTCATCGCTCCTTCCTCCTCCTGCTCCTCCTCCTCATTCCTCCTCCTTCTCCTCGTTTGCCGCCGCCTCAGTTTTTTCTATTTATGCTCATCCTCGTCATCCCTCACTTCCCCTCGTCCTTCTCATCTACTCGCCTCAGTTATCCCAATGCCTCGCCGCCTCTGGTATGTCCTCCCCCACCTTCTTCCCTCCCTTCTCCCTCCTTTCTCCATACTCCTCACACTTCTCTGCTTCCTGTTCTTCCTCCTTCCTTCCTCATTGTTCTTTTCTTAGTATCATTTTCCTCCACCTTTTCCTCCTATCTCCTCCTCATCCTCCGCGGTTTCTTCCTTTTCCATCTTGCCCTCGTTCCTCTCTCCTCATCCTCCTCCGTTCTTGTCGTCCCCCTCGCGTAGCCCCCGCGCGCGTGCGAATCAGCGACTTGCCCAGCGCGCGGGTGAACTTAGCGCGTCAAGAGGCGCGTCCGCATTTGCCAGATGCTCCTCCACCCTCTTTGCTCCTCCACCCTCTCGCCTCTCTGTTCTCCCCTCCTTTTACCCCTCCCTCCCTCCCTCCTTCCGCTCTCGCTAATCCGGCCACCGCGCGTCCTCGTCCTACCCACGTACGCCTGCCAGCTTCGCCCTGAGGGGGGGGGGAGGAGCGGGATATAGTCCATGGATAGACGAGGTGCCCCACGGCCCCCCCCTTGAGCGATCCTGCACCCTGCCCCGAAAGTGGCGGCAGGCTCAAGCGGAGCCCCAGCTTGTTCTTCCCCGTGAGTGCGGCTGGAGCTGTGTGTGCTTCCCCGGGTCGTTTTCTCATGCGGGAGCTGTCGCGGACTGCCTGACCTGACCTGACCTGACCTTCCCCGTTTCTTTCGGGTCCCCCTTGATCCCCACCTTCCTGCCTTCCCCTCCCCCGCCGTCCTCCTCCTTGTCCCTCCTCCCCTTCCTCCTTCTTCCCTCCTCCTCCTCCTCCTCTTCCCTCCTCCAGCAGGTGGAGGCAATCATCGCTGCAGCTCAATCTGCAGAATAGGAAGCTCCACAAGGGCAGATCCATGCAGCCGCAGGTGGGGGTGAGCCTGCAGCTGACCTAGATTCGTTGTCGACGTCTGACTGTTTTCTTCCAGCCCAGGTGCTCAGTATATGCTCTTGGAATTGCCAGACTATGTTCTACTCCGTCCACTCCCCTGGGAAGCGATGTAAACCCACATTTGAGGTCCTTCGGAGGCTCGTGAATAAACACACCGTCGTCTGTTTGCAGGAGGTCCATGGATGTCTTGGGGATCTTGACACTCTCAGAAGCGAACTTCCTGGAGTCCATGTTTTCGGGTCTTTCGTTGACTCAGAGAGTGCTGGAGGCGTGGTTACTATCATCAAGTCCTCCCTCTTCGATCTTTTCACTGGCCATTCCGAGGCGCCCGTGGTGGAAGGCCGAGTCCACGTAGTTTCTCTGTGGGGACCCAGAGGCCGTTTACAGATCGCCAATTTGCACCTTGTTCCCGACTGGAGCGAGACTCGCACCAAGGCTGTACTCTACTCGCTGCGCACGCATCTCTCCCCTGGTTCTCTTGCCACATCCTTCCTCGTCGGCGACTTTAACTTCTCAGTTACGGGTGAAAGCAGGTATGTTGTTGGGACGGGCGAGACGCTCGCTGCGTTTTCCAGGATTGCAAAGCATTTTGACTCGATCTTCCCCTCCTACGTTGAAGTCGAACAGCCTCACTACACCCATCGTGCTAATGTTCGAAATGCACCAAGCTTCGCTCGACTCGACAGAATTCTCACTAGCCTGCCGACCCCCATCATCCTCGACTTTAACCCACTCTCCACGACAGACTTAGACATATCTGCTAGTAAAGTTCCCTCGGATCACGTCCCTGTTCATCTAGTGCTTCGCCCCTTTCATCGGCCTGAAGGTCTTCCTGAATCTAACGAAGATAGGTGTGACATTCCTCTTCCTCCTATTGCAAGCTGGATATTTAAGCACGCTCAGTTTCGCGTCTCGTTCGACTCGTTGGTGAAGGCCAACGAGCTCAGCCTTGACCCGCCGACGGCTATTCTCGAGGTGAAGAGCCTCATGCACGCTGCCGCCAGGGAGGTCAAATATTATGTTGAAGAATTTGGGGCCAACTGTAACCCATCCAAAGCTGCACAGTGTCTCAAGCTCCTGAGGGCCCATCGGGGGAACCACCGTCGTCTTGCCTCCCGAGCCCTGTCTGGATTTTCTGAGCTTTCGGAGTTTTACGATATTGAGTTGATGGTTTGGACTGATATGCCTGGTTTTCTGGAACGCTTTCGACAGATTATGGTCCAGGAGTTCGCTCGGGAAGAAAATGAAATTCGTAACGACCCCTCCTACACCAGTGCCCAGAAGGACTCGCACCTAGTTCGCATTCGCAGGCTTTCAGCTGCATGGGCACGGACCCGTCCTCGTATCCATCTCGCGGCTGTGGTGGAGCCTGGAGGCGCGCACACCACAGAGCCTGATAAGATGGCTGAGTTGCTTGCCGAGTACTGGGGAAAGATATTCTCCAACTCCCAGCACCCTGATGCGCACGCGTCGCCGTTGCTGGAGTGCCTCTCGTCTGTGCACAGTAATGGGGACCAATTTGTCAGCAGCACCCACACGTACCACAATTGGATTTTGAGTAAAAGCGAATTTGTTGACATGGCCCAGCGTAAAAAAGACTCGGCCCCCGGCCCTGACGGCATCCGATATTCCGGGTGGGAAGCTATCGGTTCCCTGGGATACGATTTATTGTGCAACCTCTACACCCACCTGGTGACTGGTAGTCGTCTCGCCCCGTCCTTCAACTACTGTAAGATGATCTTCCTTCCTAAAGGTTCCCTCTCAGGAAGTGGTGCCGAGGCCCGCCCGCCAAGTGTAACTAGACCGCTGTCCTTGAGCAACACCGACAACACAATAGTCTCGGCCGCCGTTGCCTCGCCGCTGAATGCCGTCGCTGCCGATGTCGTAGACTGCTCCCAGAGGGGTTTCGTGAAAGGCCGATCGCTCATTGACAACCTCGTCGAATTCGATGCTCACTATCAGTTTTGGGGTGATCTCTACGGGCTGAAGGACAGCGGCGCCACGCCTTTCGACTTTAAGCAGGCGTTCCCATTGGTTTTCCACGACTGGATCGCTGCCGTGCTGGATAAGTTTGGTATCCCGACTTGCATCCGCTTCGCGATTCACTCCCTGTACGACCTGAATTGGACCATGGTTCCGTTTCCTGGGGCTTCCGCTTGTGGCTTTTGGGTCTCCAGAGGAAAATGAAGCAAGGTTGCCCGATGAGCGGGGTCCTCTTTGCCATCATCCTCCACCCCGTTCTCGTCAAAGTCAAGAGATTCCAGCAGTCTTACGAATTCATCCTGCCGTGCTTTGCAGATGACATTGCGCTCGTGGCCAGGCACCTACTTGCCGTCTTGCCTCTGGTCGTCCGTGAGCTCGTGTCCTCAGGGCAGTGGACGGGTCTTGTATTGAACCTTGGTAAGTGCCACATTATGATGTTGCATGTCAATGACAAAGAGTCCCTGGTCCAGGTGTTCAGAGACAACACCCCCAGGATGAATGTTAAAAAGTTTTCGTTTGGATCCAGTGGCCTCTACCTTGGTGCGATCGTGGGCCCAGATGGGCACTTTAAGAGCTGGTACGCACCTGCTCAGAAGTTGTTCGACAGATGCACGTGCATCAAGGGCCTGAAGCTGGGGCTGAACTTCGCTCTTCCTGTCCTCTCCCATGTCGCCCAGTGCTACGAGCCCAGCAAGCTCGTTCACGTCAAGGCCCGCGAGGGCTTGCAGCGGCTGACCAACGCCCCTCGGTACGCATTCTCCCCGCTCGCCCTGCACCACATGAAAAAGATCGGTCTCGAGAGCGAGGCCCAAGAAGTTCGAGTCACCGCTCCTGCCGCTCTGCTGCGTGCCGCCACCCGTTCTGATGCCTTCTGGAGAATGAAAGACTGGCTCGCGGAGATCAGAGAAGACGATGACCAGTGCATCGCCAGAGTTATCTCGTTCCCCTCGTCCAACCCCATCGTTGCCCACATGAACAGAGCAGTTGAAAGATATCATCCTGTTCCTGGATTTCCCCACGGTGTGAGGCCTGGTTTGCTGCAGAAACGTATAACTAAGTTTTTAAAACAAGAGATTTTCCGTGAACCCACTGCTGGTGAAATCATCTCCCCGAGGCTCCGTTATTGGACCCCTGAGGCCTCTGGTCCCGATTTTGACCGCGTTTTCATTAGACTGAAGATGATCAGCCAGAGATGCCCTCCCAGCATAACAAGTGCTGTAATTAGGACCATCTTCAATGCGTGGCCCACTTCGAGGCGCTTCCGAGGCGGAGCTCAGATTTGCAGGTTAGGATGTGCAAATATGGGGGGCGACTGTATAGAGCACTATTTCAGGTGTCCTCATGTGATTTTGTGTCTTTCCTCCGTCCTCCCCGCTCTCCCTGCGGGTTGGGTGGCCTCTCGTCCCTTTTCCGCTTTTCTCCCCTCTCTCTGGGGCTCGGCGGGCTCCGACTCCTGCTGCCTCCACGCCATTGCCATCGATCTTGTTCACTATGCTTATAATAAAAGTAGAACCAGGGAGCAAAGACCCCCATCCTTCACAAGGAATGCATTCGCCGCGAGGCTCCGCCAACAGGTTCGGCACAACGCTAACCTAAAGGAGCTACTGAGCTAGGCGGACAGCCGTGGGACCTCTCTTGCCCCCCCCTCCTCAGCCGCGTGCCGCTCCTCTTCCCTCCTCCTCCTCCTCCTCCTCCTTCTCCTCCTCCTCCTCCTCCTCCTCCTCCTCCTCCTCCTCCCTGCCCCTCTTTACAAGGGGGCCGCCCCGCTTCGGGGCCGCGCGGGGGGTGCCCGACCGGCTGCCCGCCTTCTCGACTGGGCCCAACTGCCGAGGCAGAGCGCCGAGCTCGCCAGCCGTCTCTGTGGGGCGCCTCTTGGGAGCTCTGGTGCGATTGCCTCGTCTCGCCCCATCTGCCCCTCCGGCCCCAGCCGCCCCTCGCCCTCCTGTCTGCCCTTTCCTCCCTGGTCCTGCGCCTCCTCTCTCCTCCCCCGCCTCCCTCCTTCTGGCTCCTTCTCCTCCTCCATCCTTCTCTTGCCCCTCTCTCCCTCGTCCTGCTCCTCCCTCCTCCTCCTCCTCCTCCTCCTCCTCCTCCTCCTCCTCTTCCTCCTCCTCCTGACTCCGCCGGACCTCGCGGCCCGCGACGGCGTGGCAGGGGGGGCAGGGTCGTTCTTGGCAGCCCCGAGCAGCTCCCGGCGCCGGCACCCCCCGCTCCCCCGCAGGAGCTGGAGCCCTGCAAGGTGTCGAGCTGGACGGAGTGGGGCGAGTGCAAGGACGCGCCCGGCGCCGCGGGGGGGAATCGCGGGATCGGAATCGGAACGGGCGCGAAGTGTCACCACAAAGCGCCACCCCAGAAGTCTGCTCTGAAGCTCCCGGGGAGCCGGTCAGGGTGTTTCCCGCCCCTGAGTCGTGAGCTGGATACCCCAACAAGGCTTGGCCAAATGACTAATCTGCTCTCCACCACAATGCACACACCTATGCGACTGACAGCACTGCACAAAGAGTGATATGTGAGGCATGCACGAACCCGGCTGGGGGAATAGGTAAGAGGAGAGGGGGGGTTCGTTTGGCGCCAGGAGGGCGAGGGGGGAGGTCAGGGCGGGAAGGACGAGGAGGAGGAACGAATTGTGGCGCTAGGAGAGGGAGGGATACCCCCCTCAGTGTCTTCAGCATCCTCGTCTTGCTCCTTGTCCGCACTTCTCCTACTCCTCCTTCAGTGCTTTCCCCCCCTCCTCCCATTCCTCCTGTTTGGGGAAGAGATGGAGGACGAGAAAGAGGAAGAACGGGGAGGGAGGAGAAGCGGGACGAGAAGCCGAGGGGTAGAGACCAGGAGGGGAAGAGAGAGAGAGAGAGAGACAGAACAAACAACCAGACATACATATAGGTATGTATATATATATATACATACCACAGCACTAGCGAGTTATACCTATACGACCACCCTTCGGGTGATAAGGAGGTTCGGGGGGGGGAGGAACCAACGTCTCACTCGATCGGTCTCCTTATCGATCTCACTATCGATCTCAGTATCGGTCTCGCTCGATCGATCTCCCTCGATCGATCTCACAATCGATCTCACTCAATCTATCTCACAATTGATCTGACTATCGATCTCACAATCGATCTCACAATCGATATCACATTCGGTCTCACTATCGATCTCACTATCGATATCACAACCGCTATCACAATCAACGTCATCATCATCATCAACAACAACATCAACATCAACATCATCATCACCAACATCATCATAATCGGGACACCGTCCTCACCATCAACACCAACATCATCATCATCATCATCATCATCATCATCATCATCATCATCATCATCTCGGTCATCAACATCATCGGGACACCACCACCATCATCATCATCATCATCATCATCATCATCACCATCATCACAATCATCATCATCAACATCATCATCATCAGCAGCATCGGGACACAGTCATCGTCATCATCATCAGCAGCAGTATCATCATCGGGGCACCATCATGATCACCATCGTTATCATCATCATCATCATCATCATCATCATCGACATCATCATCATCATCATCGGGACACCATCACCATCATCTCATCCCCATCATCGACATCATCATCATCAGCATCATCAACATCACCATCAGCATCATCATCATCGTCATCATCGGGGCACCATCATCATCATTACCAACATCAGCATCAACAGCATCATCATCATCATCACCATCGGGACGCCATCATCATCAACATCATCATCATCATCATCAGAAAAATCATCATCATCGGGACGCCATAATCATCATCAACCTCATCATCATCAACATCATCATCATCATCGGGACACAATCATAATCAGCATCATCAACATCAACATCATCATACTCATCATCATCGGGACACCATCATCGTCATCATCATGATCATCAACATATCATCATGATCATCATCATCATCATCATCCTCATCATCGGGACACCATCAGCATCATCATCATCATCATCATCACCATCACCATCATCACAATCATCATCATCAACATCATCATCGACATCATCATCATCATCATCATCATCGGGACACCATCATCATCATATCATCATCATCATCATCATAATCATGATCATCGTCCTCATCATCATCATCACCATCAGCACCATCATCATCATCATCATCATCATCTTCATCATCATCGTCATCATGATCATCAGCAGCATCATCATCATCAGCATCACCATCATCATCAGCATCATCATCATCAGCATCATCATCATCATCTCATCATCATCATCATCATCATCATCATCATCAGCAGCAGCAGCAGCAGCAGCATCATCATCATCATCATCATTATCATCATCATCATCATCATCGCGGGACACCGCGGGACACCGGCGGGACACCGCGGGGCACCGCGGGACACCGCGGGACACCGCGGGACACCGGCGGCGGGACACCGCGGGCCACCGGCCGCCCGGAAGGGAGACATTTGGTCTGGCCGCGCCTCAGCCACACGGGACACCAGCGGGACACCGGCGGGACACCGCGGGCCACCGGCCGCCCGGAAGGGAGTCATTTGGTCGGGCCGCGCCTCAGCCACAGGAGACTTTCTCTCGCCCGCCCACGCAGCTTCGCTTCGCCCGCACGGCACGCACGAACACGAAACCGAAATCGATTTCCCGGTAGGGGGGCTCTCCGTTCCACTTCGATCTCACCCCCTCACCTCCGACATACACTTGTACATGCTTGTACGTTGTCTATATGTCTATAATTACCCTGGCGACGTACCCAACCCCTGCGCAATGCGGGGCATGAGTAGCTTGGGAGACGTTATATGGAGGTGATGACGTGACATGGGCGCATATACTTCTGCAAGCGGCATTCGTGAGGCTCGCAGCCCCCCAGGGATTGCGATGTCCCGCTCAGATCTACCTGGTGCCTCGCTCCGCTGGACCCACCAGCAGCCCTCGAAAGTGGCGACAATTTCGCAGATCGCAGCCCCCCAGGGACGGCAAGGTCCCGCTCAGGCCCGCGCGGTGCCTCATTCCGCAGGACCCACCAGCAGCCCTCGAAAGTGGCAACAATTTCGCAGATCGCAGCCTTCCAGGGACGGCGAGGTCCCGCTCAGGCCCGCGCGGTGCTCCATTCCGCAGGAACCACCAGCAGCCCTCGAAAATGGCGACAGATTCGCAGATCGCAGCCCCCCCCCCAAGGACGGCGAGGTCCCGCTCAGGTCCGCGCGGTGCCTCGCTCCGCAGGACCCACAGCGCAGATCGCAGCCCCCCAGGGACGCGAGGTCCCGCTCAGTCCGCGCGGTGCTTCACTCCGCAGGACCCACCAGCAGCCCTCGAAAGTGGCGACGGTTTCGCAGATCGCAGCCCCCTAGGGACGGCAAGGTCCCGCTCAGGCCCGCGCGGTGCCTCATTCCGCAGGACCCACCAGCAGCTTTCGAAAGTGGCGACAGTTTCGCAGATCGCAGCCCCCCAGGGACGGCGAGGTCCCGCTCAGGTCCGCGCGGTGCCTCGCCCCGCAGGACCCACCAGCAGCCCTCGAAACTGGCGACAATTTCGCAGATCGCAGTTCTCAGGGACGGCGAGGTCCCGCTCAGGTCCGCGCGGTGCCTCACCCCGCAGGACCCGCCAGCAGCCCTCGAAAGTGGCGACAAGTTCACAGATCGCAGCCCCCCAGGGATGGCTAGGTCTAATTTGGGTCCGCGCGTGGCGTCACTGTGCTGGGCCCCCCCCAAGCAGGCCTCGAAAGTGGCGACAATTTCGCAGATCGCAGCCCCCCAGGGATGGCGAGGTCTAATTTGGATCCGCGCGTGGCGTCACTGTGCTGGGCCCCCCAGCAGGCCTCGAAAGTGGCGACAGTTTCACAGATCGCAGCCCCCCAGGGACGGCGAGGTCTAATTCGGGTCCGCGCGTGGCGTCAATGTGCTGGGCCCCCAGCAGGCCTCGAAAGTGGCCCCCAGGGACGGCGAGGTCCCGCTCAAGTCCGCGCGGTGCCTCACTCCGCAGGAACCACGAGCAGTTCGAAAGTGGCGACAGATTCACAGATCGCAGCCCCCCAGGGATGGCGAGGTCTAATTTGGGTCCGCGCGTGGCGTCACTGTGCTGCCCCCCCCCCCCAGCAGGCCTCGAAAGTGGCGACAGTTTCACAGATCGCAGCCCCCCAGGGATGGCGAGGAGGCAGGGAGGAGGCAGGAGGGAGGCGGGAGGAAGGTGGAGACCACAGTTCCTTATTCAAAACGAATACCCAACCAAGGAGGGTTGGGAAATAAACACATGTACATATATAGTACTACATGGATGTGGGAGGGGACAACGAATGCGTTCGTTTGCGAGAGAGAAAGAGAGAGAGAGAGAGAGAGAGAGAGAGAGAGAGGGGGAGTAGAGCGAGAGAGGGAGAAGAGAGAGCGAGAGAGCGGAACGACAACATCGTGCAATTGTGTTTATAGTTGGTAGCGGATGTCTGTACATGTAGTCATGTCAGTAGTTCGCACACCACGCATAGAACAATGAATACATCACACACACACATAGACATGCGTGAATCCATATCCATTGATATGTATGCATATATGGAGAGAAACAGTGTACTCAATACAGAGAGAGTGAGAGGAGAAAACGAGGAGGTGGAGGAGGAGGAAGGAGCACGTAGGAATGATGAAGTGGGATGGCAAGGACGAAAACGGGCAGCAGGAGGAGGAAAAGCAGGAGGGGGAGAAGTTGGAGAGGAGGGTGGGGAGGAAGTGGGGGGGGCATGAGGAAGGAATGATCATATGAGGTGGAAGAGGATGAGGGGAACGGGTGTCACGGAGGAGGAGGACCACAGCAAACCAGTGATGTACCCACGATGATGCAAAACACCGTCCCGTGCGACGCTCCTCCGCATGAGTGCATGCAGGTATTCCTTCCCATTGCGGGAGGCGCTCCCTTGAACGACGAGCGCCGCTCGGCCGAGTTTCCGTGTCGTGAAAGATCCATCGCCGTTCTCGTGGCTTCAAAAAATGCAGCGGGGCGGGTTTGTACCAATCAAGGCAGCGATAAAGGCAATGTCCAGCGACAGCCCGGTTTCAACTCTTGTAAGCGGGGTACGTTTTTTCTTAATAAATTGTTAGGCACCAAGTTGGCGGAATTCGCAACCGAGGCCGCAGTCAGAAGAAGAGTTGCTTTGCATCCGTGCATGCGTTGCACGATGTTTAGTTTGAGCGCTAGGCCATCGAGTTCGAGGATAGCAATTTCAGAATGGTCCCTTCCGCGGCGCCAGATGAATGTGTGTAACACTGATGGTCACGGCGCTAACGCGAGAGTCTCATTTTGTAAACGAGCTGGCATCCACCCGCGAGGACCCTATGTTGACCCTCCCATCCGTCTTTGTGGTTGCTGGAGAGTTTGCGCGGGGCAAAGGCGAGAGCCGCACGTTGGAAACCACGGGACCTTCATCCTTGCAGCGGTGTCAGTTTCTGAAAGTTTCAGGACTTCCAGTCGCAGCAGAGTCGCAAGCGGTACGTCCAGCCCAGTCTACGGACAGGTCCAGTGTTGCGACGCAGGGAGAGTATTTACAAGAGGAGGGGATCCAGGAAGAGGCGGCGACAGGGATGGGCGAGGAGATAGAGCAATGGGGATGGGAGATAAGGAGACAGGGGATGGGTGGGACTGTAAGGGGAAGGGACGAGTGAGGAGACAGGCGGAGGCCAAGCTGTGTGAGAAAGTGTGCTTGCTCCCCTGTCCTCCGCTTTGTAATTTGTTGCGCCGCGGTTTTACGGGCACGCGCGGGGGGGCGCTGTCGCTTCGTTGGCCGCCTGACGCGTACGCACAAAGGGGAGATAGGAGGAGCAGGAGGAGGAGGAGGAGGAGGAGGAGGAGGAGGAGGAGGAGGAGGAGGAGGAGGAGGAGGAGGAGGAGTTGGAGGAGTTGGAGGAGGAGGACAGCCCCTCGCCCTTTCCCGAGGGCGGCTGCGGCATGGGCGTTGCCCTGCGGCTGCGCCACGTGGTCAGCGTGGGGAGGACGACCCAGCCGTGCGAGGAGTCGTTGCAGGAGGCAAAGGCCTGCTTCACTGGGCACAACTGCACCAAGGCGCCTCCCCTGAGGAGACCCAAAGGAATAGCAGGGCTCGAGCTAAGCGGTGTATTGGCGATTTCGTGGACCTTCGTCGTTTTAATTTCGTTTTGGACCAAAGGAGGAGCGAATCCTGAACGAGGGAAGCAAACATACAACGAACACGAACAACACTGTTTAGCTCGAGCTCTGAGGAAAAGGATTGATGATCCTCAAGACGTGTGTCGACTCCGTGTGTGTTTACTGTATTCCACCCACCTGCTAACAAGCCAGGCGGGATATGCCTAAGCATGCCCCAGGTTAGCGCCCGCGACGGTGCTAGCACCTCAGGGCGCAGCTCGTGTGGGCCCTCAGTGCTCCGCCTGCGTCGCATGGAAGGGTGCCCGTCGACAAGCACGCGTTGGCGCTAACACACGTTCCAAGGATCATCGAGGAGAGCCAGGGCCCCAGGCACTGTGCCGAGACAGGCCAGGATCGGGGGCCCCCAAACGGGGTGTTGACCACACCGCGTGGTGAGTCGGTAGGGGTTCGGGGTCACCGCACGGTTTTGGGGCTCGGGTCGTTCTCCGAGGACGTCTCGGGCGACTGGGGGCATCCGAGGTCCCAAAACCGTGTGTTGACGGACCGTGCGTTGAGGTCTTGGATGATTTCGAGGGCACTGCACGGTCTGTCACCGCACCGTTTCGGGACTCCAGACAGGAGGTGCGGGAGGGAGAGTGAGAGATGCATATTGGGGGAGAGTGAGGGATGCATATCGGTTCGATCAGGCGGCTGCGGTTCCGTCGGGCGTGCCAAGGCATGCCTTGGTGGAACACAAGGCCCACCGTTTCTGTGGTTTCATTGTGGAGGGAGGAGCGTGTTGAATGGGAGAGCTTTGGGCTACGATCCTTGGGCTTGTCCAGGCTGCCCCTCAAGATGCTCCGAGTTGTTTGGGCGTGCCCGACATCCCATCACCGCGAATGCCGCCAACGGCGGCGCCTTCCGAGCGTTCTGCGCACCACGCTTGAGATTTTGAGACCGTCCCGGGCTAAGTGGGGGGCATGTTGAAGGCATTTTGGACAACCTCCCAACCCCACGTCGTATCGGGGTAGAGGGTAGGGGGAGAAGAGGCGCATAATAATGATAATGATATGAGTGGGGAGAGAAGAGGTCTGCTATATAGACCAAGCGATGATGTGACAGATGCTAGTCGCTCTTTCTTGAAATCTGCTCGGTATGCAACCCGAACCAGCATTCGCCGAGCATGGCTTGCCGTTGCGATTGATTCGGTGCAGTGGTGATACGTACGGCGCGCGGGATGCGCCTGGAACCGCAAAACGTGTTTGAAGTGTGGAAGACGTTGCTGAGGCGTACATCGGTCACTACAGTATTGTTTGAGCACCTCCGTCCCAGGGGAGGCGGGCCTCCCGCCCAGAGACAAAGTGCAGGTGGCTGAAGTCACACACGGCCTCCACCCGCAAGCACGGAGGTCAGCCGCTGAGCGGGCAGAGTGGTGGACGAGTCGGTGCACGCCGAGACCCACTGCCCGCCGGCGTATCACTCCGGACGAGGTGTATGCCCTCAAGGGCTGTCGGAGACGACGCTCGCCTGATCGGTACAAACTTGCATCGGGGAGAGATGCTACATCTTCTGCCTTCTCTTCGCTCTCCTCCTCCTCCCTCCCCTCCCGTCTCCCTCCCCTCTCCCTCCCTCCTCTCTCGAGTCTAGCGAGGACCCCAGGTAAGGGGACCCGGTCAGTGGTAGGGCCCCGGAGCCCCGAAATTGGCCAGAATCACTTAACCAGGTCTGCCGTAGTAAGTGTGCTTTCGGTTGACGGCAGTTCCTGTCCCCCAGTACACATCACTAAACCAGGTCCCATTCGACCCAGTTCTGCCAACGCCCGACTCCCTCCCCATTGTTCCTCTCCCTCCCGCACTCCTGCCCCCTCACCTCTCTTTCCCCTCCCCTCTTCCCTCCTCCTCCCGCGCTCCTCCCCACTCTGCTCCTTCCCTCCAGCCCCTCGTCCCCGCCCTCCGCCCCGCGCGCCCTCGGCTCGCTCGCCCCCCCCCCGCCCCCCCCCCTTCTCCAGCTCCGCCCTCCCGCCTGCCCGCCCCTCCCCCCCCACCCACCCCCTCGCCCTCGCCACCCCCTTGTCGCCCTCTTGCCCGCGAGCAACTCGCGAGGGGGGAGGGCGCTCGCCGGCAGCGTGCTGGTGCTCTCATGGCTAGAATACCCGGAATCGCTTCCCCCCCACTATTCCCCTGCCTTCCATGCACGCTTCCCCGTCGTCGGAAAGGGGCAGAGCAAGGATGCCCAAGACCAGCACCCTGGTGGCGGCAGGGCCCCCGACGGGGAGCGCCTGCGAGGCGGAGCCGCCTCCCCCGACGTGGCTCCCACTCGGGCGTGTCGGCGGGGCCTTGAAGCAGGGCCTGCCTGTCTTCTGTTTCCTTTTCGCCGGTCCGTCGTGCGCTCCGAGCCCGTGGCGCGTGAGCATGCGCGCCGTGCAGCAGAGGCGACAGCGCTCTCCTCCCGCCCCGTCCACCCCCCGCCTTGCCGGCGCGGAGCCGCCTCCGCCGATGCCGCTCCCGTTGGGGCGCCGCCGGGGCCTCGAGGCAGTGCCCGCCTCCCGCCTCCCGCGCCCGCCCCCTTCGCCCGTGGCCCCGCCCTCCCCGCCGGAGGAAGGAGAGGCGACGCCCCCCCTTCCACGAGGCCACCTCCAGCGAATGCCCCCCCTCCTCCTCCTCCTCCTCCTCCTTGTCCTCCTCCTCCTCCTCCTCGTCCTCGTCCTCGTCCTCGTCCTCGTCCTCCTCCTCATCATCCTCCTTCTTCTCTCCTCCTCCTCCTCCTCCTCCTCCTCCTCCTCCTCCTCCTCCTCCTCTCCCCTCCCCCCCCCTCCGTCTCCTCCTCCTCCTCCTCCCTCCTCCTCCTCCTCCTCCTCCTCCTCATACTTCCCTTCCTCCTCCTCCTCCCCCTCCTCCCCCTCCGCCTCCTCCTCCTCCTCCTCCTACTCCTCCTCCCCAGAGCTGGGGAGAGGAGGGGGACCACACCACCAGGACGACCCTCCCCGGCGCCTCGCGCGGGTGGTGGTGGTGTCGCCCTGCCTTTTGGTTCCTCATCCCCCGCTCGCCCCAAGTGGCCCGGCGCAGAGGTGGACTGCGAGTGGGCCGACTGGGAGGCGTGGACCGATTGCACGGCTTCCTGCGGCGGCGGCACGAAGCGCAGGAACGGTTCGCGGTCGCCAGTCGCCGCCGCCACCTGCCTTCTTGATCCATCTATCCTCCATCTTGCCCCCTCCTCATTTCTCCTCGGTCCACCCAGCTCCTTTCGTTGCGACCAAAATTGCGACGGGAGGTTTTTGCCCATTTCGGCCTCTCGAGGCCCTCGCCGGGCCCCGAGATCGTCAAACAACTACTCGGGATGAGAACCCGGTCCCGGAGAAGCGGGTACACGTGCTGAAATAACACGACGTTTTGTTTTTTTGTTTTTCCTCCTCATCCTCTTTCTCTACTCGCTCCTCATAGACCTCCCTCTTCCTTCCTCCTCCTCCTCCTCCTCCTCCTCCTCCTCCTCCTCCTCTTCCTCCTCCTCCGCGTGTATGGCGTGAGAAGAAACCTCTTTGCTGGCGAGTTCAGAAACCTGAGGAGTTCGTGCACCAAGGGGCGACAACGCTTTCTTCGGATATGACGCCGGAGGATTGTTCATCATCTCTGCTGCGCCTTTGGATCGTGTACACATTCGTGTCTTGGAGGCTGCCTGGGGGCGGGCCACCACACAAGGCGAGAAGACTGAGTGTGCTCGTGAAGTGTGGGTCGAGAGGCGTCGGCTACGTGATCAAAAGCATCAGGCGGTGTCCCAGGCTGTGCTTGGGAGCCTGCGTGCTGGCGGATGGGGTAAGAAGGCCTCTGGAGACTCAGGCAGGTTGGCCCTGAGCGATCCAGAAAAGGAACATCGGTCCATTACCAATACGACGGATATAGTTGATGAGGTTCATGAGTTTTCTACCGAGCAGTCCAGCGAGTCTCGCTCCATCCTCTTAACATCCCCTCTTGGATCTATGCCAAGTTCGACGTAAACAATACTTTCAGTATCTCTCACCTCCTTCAATGCACTATGCAACTGCAGTCCCGCAAGTCCTGCTGCCCTGAAGATATGTTGGTAGCTGATATGTTTCTAGCTATCGCTATTCAAGGTACCGCCGCTCCCTCCAACATGCCGAATACCATAGACAGTGAGGATATGTGACCTGGGGCCTATGGCAGAGCATGGGTAGGGTTCCGTCGTTATTTGTCTAATGTTGGATGTGGATGCGTAATGTACGGTACTACGGGGAAGCACATGGTTAGCTTGTCTCATCGTCTCTTTCCTGGGAGCTCCTCGAATGGCATGGGCTTCCTCTTCTGCTTGAACTGGCTCTTGGCTATCGTAATTGAGACGTGCGCTGTGATTTTGCTATCGGATGGGATTGTGACCCTGTCGTGAACCAAGTGGGTGGGTTTTGTTCTGTGCTAGGTAGTTGTATTTGGGCTGATCGTGAATCGGCGTTGGCTCTCATTGCTACATTGGGAAGAGCTCGTATCCGTGATGTTCGTCGCTGTGTCAACCAGGTCGCAGACTTCCTGGCCAATGAAGCTGTAGACTAGTATGGTTCCTGTACCCCCAACACACTAGGCTTCAAACAATCATGTGTTCACTGCTGCCCGTGTATGGCGGAATGTCCTAATGGGTAGATGCACATCTCTTTGTGGTCTTACCGCCGGAGCAGATTGAGGTCGAGAACCCGATCTGGAATAGGTGAGTTTTGCATCGTAGCCCCACATTGTTTTCAACTAGATCAGTCTCACTAGGTTCTGCATACGCGACACATCTTAGTTGCTTGGCCTCTCCACGTTGCTGCTGCGAGAATGGATACCCAGAGGACTGTGTGTGACTATGCATTGGTTCCGACACTGTTTGACCACGTGGTTTTGTTTACTTGACCGCTGGCGTTTATGCCTGTGTTGTCGAAAGTGGTTGGTGGGGCGCGTCCTGTACATATAAAGTAACAGCTTACGGACAGCACACCATGGCAGTCTGCGTATAGTGAGGGGCACAGTGTGATGGATCTGGTTTGCATCGTCATGTTGCTGGCACAGAGATGTATGCAATGCGGTCGCGGCCTCGTGCGTGGAACTGCGGATATTCCAAAGGCTTCTGGTGGTGTATGTCACGTAACATCTGTACAGTCGCTACAACGAATGGGAGTTCCTGATGCAATGGCTGCCTGGTTCCTTCGACATCTTCTTTATATCGGTTCCAATGTACATCTGGTAGGTGCAACGGCTTCGATTGCTCCATTAGCTCGTGGTGCACCTCCGGGGTCTGCTTGGGGGCCTGCATTCTCCAAGGTGGTGCTCATTGATTGTTTAGATCTTGTGCGACAGACATGTGTAAAAGATCGTCTGGGCGGTGCTCTGATTGATGTGGATTATTGCGGGCGTCACCATTCTAAATGATGCAGAATGCACAACCTTCATTGTTTGGAACGACCATCTTTCTATTCTGGCTCACGTGATTGTGGTCGCGGGGGAGATTTGCGGTCGGTGTCAGACTGCCTTACGTTTGTTATGGGTGAAGTGTTCCAGGGGATCGTATCCAGCTGCTGGTGACCAACACAGGAGAGACACGTCCATGGAACAAGATATGGCCGGCGATTGATATCACCCCGCATGACAAAGCGTTGAAGATCATTGATGTCCGGATGAATGCTGTGGACAACATGATCACGATACTCGTGCTAAGGCGTTCATGGCTTCCTCGGCAGTTGGTTCCATTCAGAGTTGTCTCTAGAGTTTGTCAGGTACAAGGGCTTCGAGATTCCCTCTTGTACGTCGCATGGTCTCATCGACGTCCTTCTGGTGTGCTCCTAAACGGAACTTGAGTCGGAGGTCGGCGATCTCTTTGGGAGCTGTTCTGATCAAGTTTTGCTGCACGACATATCCGTTGGCCGAGATTGGATGCGACACGTGAAGCTTATTCGGGATCGGTGAGATCGCAGTTGGAAACATTGAATGTTGCAGACCATATGATTGATCTTGATGTCATCGTCTGGCTCCGCCTTCACATCTATTCAGCCCACATGTCGCGAAAAGCTGCCGCCAACTCCGAGGCGATCCTGGCTTATGTTCTGACATGGAAGCCCCAACATCATGCAGCTTCGGAGAAAAGAGAGGGACAAACACAAGGGTTACGCATGTTGGCGTTTCAATTGACTCATGTTCTACTACCCCCACAGGGGTCACTGGATCTAGATGGCCCAGGGCAGGCACCTTCAGAGAAGGAGTGAGGAAGTTTGGGGAAGTAAGGAGAGAGCTCGTATGTGATGATCACGTGTTGCCTTGTCGTCGTCGCCCCCCGAGCTCTAGGGCCTGTCGCCCCGCTTCACCCCACCTGTCCGCGTTTAGATCTGTGAGGCATGGCGGACAGCCCTCGTCATTCAACCACCACCACCACCTCTTCTTCCTCCGTCCCCTTGTGCTGTGGACCAAACCTCGCAGCGTGGGCCGTTCCCCACATGTGGTCTTCTATGCGGATCGTTTGCGCGTCTCGTCTCCGTTGTAGTCGTCGGCGTCGTAGGGGTTGTGGTGCGAGTTTCTCTGCTCGAGGCTTGCTTCTCTTCTGCACTGACCACCGCCACTCGCCACCCACCCCCGCCACTTCTCCGTGCCCTTCAAGGCATGCGGTTTCTCAGATCGTGTAGTATCGAAGAGGCCTACGACGAAACACCGCCGCCCTCTGCCGTCCTGGATTCGCATTCGCGGTGAAATGTGTAGCGAAGGTGCAGTCATGCTGGATGAACCCAGTGCTTGGGGCCACCACCTGGCGAACACTGGGGACCAGGTTCTCTTGAAGGTCTGGTGGGGTGTCTTGGTTTAGGCTCTCTTGAAGACATGTTGGCCCGCCTGGGAATCATCTGGAGCAACACCGAGGGCAATGCTGCACCATATTTGGCAGTCTTGAGGGCCATCTTGGACATTCATGGTCTTGAGATGTTGTGGATGGGTGGCGATGGGATTGGCTGGAGGTCACCTGGCACCTGGTGGGGAAAGTTCAGAACGTGTTACAACGTCTATGGCGCCAACACCCCGTCGCGGGCTGCGGTTGCTGTGAATAGTGCGGCCTTCGGTCCATCCCGCCACTGGGCCTGGGTCTGGGACAAGACGTTTCTTAGACGTCCCGGGGGCTGGGGAGGCATATTCGGGGCATTGCGAACGCTTCCTGAGAGCTTCTGTGGGGAGCTGATAAGGGATCTCGTGGGGGGTCCTTGGGGACTTGTGGGGGCCTCTCGAGCACCTTCTGGCCTGGGGTCCTCTTGGGAGCCTGCTGGCGGTCTGGGGGGCGGTCTTGGAGGAATGGGCTCGCTCGGCTGTGAGTTCGTGTGCAGTCTCTTCTGCCGTCGTGGGGGGACCTCGTGCCCTCTTGGGACCGGGGGAGGCAGCCTCGGGGCCGCAGCGGTGGCCTCTAAGGCTACCTTGGACGCTCTCCGACCCGAAAGCATGGGCTGCTCGAGCACCACGCAAGCAAGCACATGCCGCTTCCAATGTGCCGTTCTCCTCGGGCGGGCCGCAGGGCCTCCAAGACGGGCGGAGGTGGCGCCAGGACGGGTTCAGGACGGGCCCTGGGACCATGTTGGGCCACGGTTGGAAGTGTGCACTCCAAGCCCTTGGCATCGCTCGGACCTGTGCATGTTTTCTCGGCGGGGATCACTGAGGAGCATCCTGGATCGTGCTGCGAAACAGACGCGCACGGAACCGAACAAGGCACGGGGGCTGGACGTCCGAGCGATGGCAAGAGCCACGATCCCGAGGCCTCTGGAAAGGTCGCCAGGCGAAAACAGAGCGCTTCAGAGACGACCGAGAGCGCCCTGAGCACGGTGCTCCAGTTCCCCGAACGAGCAACACCCAATTTCGATCAGAACGGATTTGAGGACATTCCGCCCAATGCTTGTGACGCGGTGGCGCATGTACGTAGCACTCTCCCACGCCGCTCGTGGTTCACTCGCTGCTCGCCCTTGCCACCTCCCGTGCTTTGCACGGCCGTGCATATCAAGCGGGCTGTTGGTGCCTGCGTCCGCGTGCCTGCCCCATCCCTGCCCAGCCTCCTTCCTGCGGATAACCCGCGCCATGTCCCTCCTCGAGAGGCGCGCACTCTTTTACCCTTTGCGCGCTCGTACAGGACGGCGCCCGCAGCGCACACCGCAGCGCTTGCTCCGTCTCCCCAGAGGGATGTCAGAAGTTGCTTCGTTTCGGAGGGAAGGTAGGAGGAGGAGGACGAGGAGGAGGAGGAGGAGGACGAGGAGGAGGAGGAGGAGGGCGAGGAGGAGGACCAGTACAAATCCATGACGCATCAACAATGTTGCAATAATTTGTTCCTCCCTAAGTTTCCTCCTCACAGGTCCCTACAAGGATTCATTCTCACTGCCGGATAACATGTCCCATTGGAAAACGACCATCTGAAAGTCACCAGTCGTGTCAAGGCACCGTTCTTGCCACTTCCGCGCCGCGAATCAACGTGATTGCTGCGTCCTGACATCTTCAAACCGTTCCAGAACACATCTCCCGGGACCTCAAGATCGCGAATCAATGTGACCGTCGCGTCCTGACATTTCTAAACCTTGCCCGAACACCATCCCTCAGGCTTCAATCGTGCGAGTCCGTGCGAGAAGAATGTGCGCGGCGCTCAGGCGAGAACCACCTTCTGAAAAGGAACCGCCCTCTATCCGTGAAGTTGGTGCAAACATTCAAGGCGAGTGTGCGCGGCTCCGAGGCGACCTCCATCCGTGAAGCTGTTGCAAAGGCTTGGGACGAACGCGCGCGGCGCTGAGGCGAAAACCACAACTTGAAACCGGCCCGCCCTCCGTCCGCGACGCTGTGGCGAATTTTTAAGACGAAGGTGCGCGGCGCGGCCCGCGATCCATTCGTGCAGGTGTTACACATGTAGATGTTCAGGATCATCAAATGGTGAGAAACACTCTGGCGAAGCGCCCGTCTGGGGGTGCGGTAGGGAGGACTGATTCGCAAGTGGAAGGGCGGAGAGGGGGCATCTTCGAGCGCGTGCTCCCGCGGCTTGCCCAAGAAAGGAGGGGGGCATCCGCAGGCACCTGGCCAGTCCAGGCACCCTCTCCCCCTCCTCTCCGAGGAGAGACGGACTTCACCGCCACCGAGAACCAATCGGGGGGACCCACCACTAGGCGATGGCGCCCATCCCCTCCCGATCTCTCTCTCTCTCTCTATCCCCCTCCCCCCCCCTCCCCTCTCCAACTCCCCCCTTTTCCCCTCCCTCCTCCTCCCCCCCCCCCTCTTCTCGGCCCCCCCCCCGCCAAAGGAGCAGGGCGGTGGCGGCCGTTCCGAAGCACGGCGGCGCCGCGTGCCCCGCGGAAGCTAAGTCAGAGGCGCCTCCCCTCTGTCTTCGGTCAGTCAGGTCTCTTGGAGGGAGAGGCGAGGGCGAGGGGAAGGAGGAGGAGGAGGAAGAGGAGAAGGAGGAGGACGAGGAGGAGGAGGAGGAGGAGGAGGGGGCGGAGGGGGCGGAGAGGGCGCAGGAAGAGGGGGGGAGGAGGAGAAGGAGGGAAAGGAGGAGGAGGAGGCGGAGGAGGAGGAGGGGCGGAGGAGGACAAGTGGATGCAGCCGGTCTCCGCACCGCCGCCGGGCGATCCCCTGTGTCTTGGGGACAGGCAAGGATGAGGGGAGGGATCCGAAGACAAGTAGCCACCAACAGAAACTGTCGGAGGTCCGCGCGGATATCTTGGATTGTCTGTCGCTGGACCACCTGGGCGGGTCCTCCGGCGTCGCCCCTCCAGCGCCAATTCAAGAAGTCCACGCGGATCTCAGAAAGCGCAAGTTCAATTTGTTGCCCCCTTAGAGGGGCGAGGATGAGGGGAAGGACGCGGAGGAGCGAGAGGGGCCTGGGCTGGCCGGGCAAGCGAGGGAGAGCAACGGGCAGCGAGGTGAAGGGAGGGACGGGAGGAAGGGATCGAGGGCGGAGGGAGGGAAGGAAGGAGGACGACGAGCGAGGTGGAGAAGCAAGGAGGAGAAGCAAAGGGGAGGAGGAGGAGGAGGAGGAGGAGGAGGAAGAGGAGGAGGAGGTGGAAGAGGAGGAAGGAGGGAGGAGGATGGGCAAGGAGGAAGGACTGGGTGGCGAAAGGGGGGAAGAAAGGGCGAGGAGGGGCAGGAGGAGGTTGGAGTAGCGACGAGGACGCACTTGGACGCATGGGGATGATGATGCGGAGAAGCAGAAAGGGGTTGCGAGGATGGACGGTGTGAACTCAGAGGAGTCCGCCAGCCTGTCCCCGTTCCTCAATCTCCCCGCCGCCTCCTGCTTCCCCCCCCTCCCCTCACGCCCTAGCCTGCTCCCTCATCCTCCCTCGCCTCATCTGCCCTTCCCCTGACCCCTCTCCCCCCCCCCGCTCGCCTCCGCTCCCCTCTTCCCCTGCTGCTCCACCCGCGCTCCGCCTGCTGCCCCTTTCCCTGTCCCTGCACCTGCGCAATTCGTTTGGTATCCTCCCTCCGCCCTTCCTCCCGCCACCCTTCACGCTCGCCTTCCTCTCTTCACCCTGTCGCGCTCCTCTCCCCACACTCTCCACCCTCTCGCCTCCCCCCTCCTCACCCCCTCCTCACTCCTCCTCCGCCTTTCCCTCCTCCCCCGTCCCCCCCGCCTCCCCCTCCACCTCCAAGGTGGCCTCCTGCGCGGAGAAGAGCTGCGACAACTGCGTGGACGGCACCTGGAGGCACCTGCGCCTCTTCCATCTTTGTCCCGGCGCCACCCCTACTCTGGCATGTCGCGCTTCCCTCGTCAGCCCGTCCTCCGCTCCGCCTCCGTCAGAGTGGGGGAGGGACGATGCGATCGGCGGCCCGAGAGCCACTCCCTTCCGGCAATGCTTCCCCCCCTCCCTCCCTCTAAGTGTCTCTCCCTCCTTCGCCTTTTCTTCTTTGTTTCTCCCTTTATCTGCCCCTACACGAGCTGGTTGAATGTCCCTGGCATAAGCGCGGAGTGCCTCGCTGGCTTTCCCGCTAGCGCCGCGCGCATTCGTCTCAAAAGCTTCCAGCAGAGTGCACGGAAGGGTGGCGGTCGGTTTTCACCATGGTGTTCTCGCCTTGCGCCGCGCCCAGTAGTTTCAACCGTTTCTGCAAACCTTCGTCCACAGTGACCAGTGGTATTTTTCAAAGCCTGGATCCGGCAACAGCGCCGCGCGCATTCTTCCCACACGACCCCAAACAAAGGCGACTTTGTGGGCGCGATATTTTCTCAAATTGTTCTCGTCTGGGAAGTCCCCATGTGTTGTGATCTGCTTACTTGTCATATCTACGAGCAGGGGCGATATAGGCAGCTTGTTTCAATCAGTTGGCTCCCGTCTGAAGTATTGCTGCTCCAGGATTCAGATCCTCCAGCTGGACAGCTCGTGCATGCGAATGGATTCATTTTGAATTACGTTACCGCTTGGGGCGTCGTCCTGACATCTTAGTTCCTTGGCACTAGACATAGGATGCGGGAGTGACTCACATGAGGTCGTTCGCTCTGCCGCGGGGCACATCTCTCTTCAAGCTTCATAAGGCTGCAGTGGCGGATGAATGCCCATTGTCACATGTACTGCGTTGTTTTACGCTTACGCTGGCCGTTCAGATGGTCTCCGCTCAGCCTTCAACGCAACCATGGTTCTCGCCATGCAGATTCATGAGGCCCTCACACTTATCCAGCGGGCATGTTGGGCTAATTCGGAGCGGACTTGGGACAGGAGGGTGTACACTAATCAACAAGCTTTAGGCAACGCGTGCAATGTCATGGACTCCAGTCGAGTTCGTTTAAGAATATCAGGAGGCAGGACTGGACTCTGGGCGCTTCCCTCGAACTTTGTTTTCCGTAACATGTTCTTACCTTTGGTTTCGGGCAATTGCTTAAGAGAATGTGTTGAGCAAAGTCCGTTATATTAACTTGGCGTGTTTTTAATTCTAAAGGGGTCTATTGCAGCATCCGTGATGCGTGTGTGTGCGCGTGTGTGTGTGTGCGTGTGTGTGTGTGTGTGTCTGTGTGTGTGTGTGTGTGTGTCTGTGTGTGTGTGTTTGTGTGTTTGGGTGCTTTGGCGCTTAAGAACGGCCGGGTGTCTTATCCACTGTGCAGCCGCCGTGCGCAGGGCTATCGAGCGGTACGCCGCTGTGCAAGCCAGCTCAACGAGAGCCACCGTGCTGAGGCTGCGCCCTCGAGCACCCCAGGACACGGATTGAGGCCCTCCACGGTTTCATCTAGCCCCAGGCCCCACGGGAGGGCCTTCTCAGCCCCAGGCCTTGTGGGGGGGCGAAATCGCGAATGTTGCACAGCCCAGCAGGAGCGTATGTCTCCCGATCACAGCGCGCCGACGGCCAACAGCGACGGCGCAAGCAGGCAGGGCTCAGAAGGCGAGGCCATCCACGCAGCTGGCACTTGCGCTGCACGATCTTGGATTGGGGCCATCACAGTTGGCACCCCTGCCGTTCACCATCCGGGATTTCCGAGCCGAGATCTTGCTTTCCATCTTGTGGTGGTGCCTCCTGGGCTCTCGTCCTGGGCTTCCCCATCGCAGCCCAGCCTCCGTCGGGCGTGCCGTGGGAGGACGCCTCGCGAGGAACCGTGCGCGGCCGGGCGCCCAGCAGATGCCTGAGGCGACCTTGGTCCACCTCCAACTCGCGCGCGAGCACGGCCAGGCGCCGCGCGAGGGGCTGGCTGCACCGAGGCGGCGCCTGCTCATTCGCGGCGGCGCCGGTGATCCAGGCGTCCGGCAACGCCCTGTCCCACACGCGCTCGCTGGTGATCGCGTCGCAGCCACCTGCCAGCAGGCCGAAGGCCCGCTCCCGGGAGTGCACCGCCGTCACGATGATCAAGCGACCGTGGAATGCAACCTCGAGGGTAACTTAAGCTTGCCGCAGATCAGTCCGCGCGAGTGGGATCCGTCCTGATCGAAGCCCTTCTCCATGGACTACGCGCCCTCGAGGACCTGGACGTCCGAGTCCTGGCCCTCGCAGGCCTTCGCGTCGAGGATCGGCACGACCTCCGAGCGCATGCCCACGACCTCCTTCTCCTCCGCGGACAACGCGCGTGCGTGTTGCACGAGCGGGGGAACACGGCACAGCAATGGAACTTACAGTCAGGGGAGAAAGGGTAGTTTTGCGAGCAGGGGAGGATGGACTACAGCACATGTCTTGTCATCTTGTTCCTGAATTCGCAGGCGTAGCAGCATGGTGCATTGGCTTGCATATCGCATTCGTGTGCTGTCTGGGCGCGGGCCCGAGCCCAGGCAAGGGCCTTGTGGGAGGTCACGATATGCCCGACTTAGCGGTAAGTGGAACGCGGGAACATCGATCATGAAAGCAGCAGGTCGTGGGCACGGGCCCCTTCAGCATGGCGTGAATCTACGAAGCGTGGCCCTGCGGCGGGGGCGTGGCTCCGCCTTTTAGTCCTGAAGAAGTGGGCTCGGGTCCCACGGGCTGGCAAGGCGTGTGCCTGTGTCATCGGTTCTACTGGCGCGGGAGCCATCGGGGTGTACGTGGCAGCGAGGGCATGGGCCCCCTTACGCGCGGAGTTGCTTGGCCATGTCCCAACAGGCGCAGGCCTACGGCCGCTTTGGTGGCGCACCGCCCCCAACCTCAACAGACCCTCCTTCCTCTCCAACCTTACGCCCCCGTGGACGAGCGAGGTGGAGGAACAGGAGGCTCACACGCCGCGTCTGATCGAGCGAGGTCTGGACATGGCGCCAAGACCTGACAAGGGGCGGATGTGTGAAGCCTGGGCTTTCCCAGCCATCGAAAAGCGCGGTGTTCGGTGTAGCGGAGGCCGCGAGATGGTGCCAGCGCGCTGTCCGAGTTCTCGGCCCCATCCCCAGGAGCTGAGGAGCCAAGCCCGTCCGCCCTCCTCTCCAGCAGGCGGCCCCCCTCAGAGGCGAGGGCGCAGCCTGTGGGCGCCGAGCGCAGCGGACTGCGGGAGAAGCAGGCGTAGCGGCGGGGGCGTGGGCCCTGGTCGCTGTTTTTTTTTTTTTTTTGTGTGTGTATGTGTGTGTGCACCCCGAATGCGGGGTCGCGGACCATGTCCGTGGGCGTCAAGCTGAGCGCAAGCCCTAAACTTGGAGGGGTCGCGGGCCCCGGCTGGGGTGCGCTTGCTTGGGCACGGGTCCATTCGAGGGCGTGGGTCCGCTGGCGTGGCCACGGGGCACGCTTTTTTTCCGGTGTCTCAGCGGCGAGGGTTCGGCCCTGACCGCCTGCAGTGCGTGTGCTTAAGGCGACGTGCTCCATCGACGGCAGGCTCGCCGTGGTAGCGCATGGTTGCAGGCACAACCCCTTGCGGCGTGGGCACGGGCCCCGTCGTAGGCGTGCGGGCTGGGCACGGGCCTGACTCGCGGGCACGGGCCCGTGCGCGCAGACACGGGCCTGGTCTAGTTCGTCGGTCGGTTGGGCACGGGCCCGGCGTGGGTGACCGTATCTCCCAGGTGCGGGCCTACGGCCGCTCAGGCGGGTCCCGCCGTGTCTGTATTGGGTTGCCGCCAGTACGACAAACGGGTATGTGGCGGACCACGGGCCCCGTCCACGCGCGGGTGCGGACCGGGGGCGCTGGCACCTACAGAGTACAGGCCGCCGCGGAGGCGTCGGCCTGCGAGTTCAGAACTCGTGGTTTGGACACGGGCCCTCGTCGGGGGGCGTTGGTTTTGGGGCACGGGCCCAGCTGCCACGGGCACGGGCCCTGAAGCGCAGGCACCGGCCTGCGGGTGCAGGCCTGGCGTAGGCGGCCACGGGCCACGGCGGCGCCGCTCTGCGCAGCTTGGGAGGGGGCGGGCCCTCCAGCCGCGGGCCGCACGGCGGCTGGGTGCCAATCTGATACCAAAGGGCTCTCGAGCTGTGACTGCGCGATTTTTCCGCCTGGCTTCAGGACGTGTCCTGCAATTTCTAGGTTCGGGCCTCGGCGGCTGCGGTTCCCAACACGTTCACGCAATATTGCATCCATGCGAACCTGCACACCTGCAGCAACTCATGCGAATCATGTGCAATCACCAGCTGCAGTGGCATCGATGCTCGGCTCAAGTAGGGTATATACATATGTGTATATATGCACACAGCTTTTCTAATTTAAAAAACTTGAGCCGGCGCCCCCAGCCTCGTGCCGCTGGCCGCCCCCGATTGGCGGCGGGCGAGGGGGGGGAAATTAGAAGGAGAACGGCCTTCTGAGAAGGTGGCGGGACTTCTCAGAAGCGCTCGCGCCCTTGGAGGGCTTTTCTGCGTCTTCGGGGAAGGCTTCGGAAACTCCTCAGAAGGCTGGGGGCCCCACCCGCCCGCCCGCCCGCCCCGCCGGCCCTGGCCTCCCGCCTGGGCGTTCGTCGTCGTCTGCCTGCTTCTTCCCTCCTCGTCCCCTCCCGCCGGACCGCGCAGCCTGCCCGGAACCAGCGTGGCGGCATGTAGGGCTTCTTCTCCGACTCTGCTCTGAATTTCTGTACACGCAATCGGCTGGAAGTCTTCCAAGCCTTCTGAGAAGGCCTGCTCCTTCCCACCTCCCCCCCCCCACCGCTCGCCGCCGAGCCGAGGTGGCGAAGGCGGAGGCCCGCCCGAGGCCCGCCTCGGGCGCCGGGGCCGCGTGCCAGGGCCGCATATGCCCGCGGCGCCCGGCGCTGCTCGGCCCCCCCGCGCCCACCGCTGCGAGCCGCGGGGTCCCGCAGCGCGGCCTCGCGCCGCCAGCCGCGCCGCCAGGGGGCGCGCGCTGGGCCGCCTGGCAGCCGTCACCCGTCGCCGCTGTCGCGGGGGCCGCGAAGCGGGGGGGGGATGGGCCGAGCCGCCCTCGAGCACAGAGGGAGGAGGAGAGAGACTGGGCGCGGCGCCCGCCCTGAGCGCCCGAGGCAGGCTAGAGCCCAAATGGTTCGAGCCAGCATGGCTACGTGTGTGTGTGTGTGTGTGTGTGTGTGTTGTGTGTGTGTGTTTGTTTGTGTGTTCGTGAGTGTGTGTTTGGTTCGCTCTAGTCCACCTGCTTCTCGCGCGGCGCGGAGGCAATGGTCTAGCTGGAGCAACTGCTCCGACACGTGTTACCCCGCCTACAAGGTCCTGCTGCGCGAGGGGGTTGATGTGGGGGGTGGGAGGGAGGCAAAGGGAGGTAAGGATGGAGGAAGTGAGAGACGGAGGTAAGGTAGGGAGGAGGGATGGAAGCAGAGGGAGGGATGGATGAAGAGGGAGGGAGAGGGAGGCAGGAAGGGAAAGAGAGGTAGAGAGGGAGGGAGGGAAGGATGGAGGGAGGCGGGGGGGGGAAGACAGTGGGCAGGGGGAAAGGACAGAGGAAGGGAGGGGGAGGACTGGAGCTGGGACAGGGAGGGAGGCAGGGATGGAGGCAGATGGTTGGAGGGATGAATCGAGGTGCGTAGGAGGGTGGGAGGATGAAAAGGGTTACCAGGATAGAAATGATACGGAGATGGAGGATAAGGGAGAGAGGAAGCAACAGGGAAGCACGATGATGATGAGAGTGCTATACGCCACAAGACCGACAGTACTCTTTCCACCATCTGCGAATGGAGGAAGGCAAGGACGAGGGGCGAGGAGGGATGAGGAGAGAGGACGATGACGAGGAGGAGGAGGAGGAGGAGGAGGAGGAGGAGGAGGAGTGCGGGGCGACTGGCGAGGAAGTGGAGAATCGAGGGTGGAGGAGTGAGGAGGAGGTGGATGGAGAAGGCGGACGAGAAGAAGGCAGCTGGATGAGGGGAGGAGGACGAAGTCGAGCAAGGAGGGGGACGAGAGGAGGACGAGAAGGAGGAGTAGGAGGAACACATGCAACAGAAAGGATGAGCAGGAGGAGGGAAGAACACGCAGAGGGCCTCGAGCCTCTGGAGCTCTCGAGCCCCTTCGCACGGCGGACAGCGGATTCCCGTCCTTGGGGCCCGACAGCGGATTCCGCAGGCCGAGGTCACGGACATTTGGTCCCCAGAGTTTCCGAGCTGCGTCCTCGGGGAGGGTGGGGGGGAGGCGCGAGGAGCGGGCAGGGAGGCGGCCGGCCGGGAGACGCCCCGGCTCGCAAGCCCGGCCGGCAGGTGAGGCACCGAGAGCTGAAGACGCGGCCGAATTTTTGCGGGGTGGCCGCCACCGGCCTGGAGGAGTCTCGTCCTCAACGCCCCCCCCCGTCCATTTTATACTGTGCCCATTCTCGTCATGATCAACACCTTGCCCCTGCTCCTCGATGCCGCCCTGTTGCTTCTCATTATTGGGCACCCTCCTCCTTTTTTGACGTTGCGCAAATTTTGGGCTGCAGTCCGGAGCGTTACTCACCCTCCTCTTCCTGCTCCTCCTTCATCATTATGCGTGCCTGTGCGGGCGTCTGGTTCTCGCCGTGTGTTGTCCTCCCCGCCAGCGTTGCCATGTCTTTGCTCGTCGGTGAGTTCACGCCTCGTTCTCCTCTTGCTGCTGATGCTGCTTCTCCCTTCCTGGCTGTTCAGCAGGCCCCCAGCAACGATGTCTCAAAGCAAACATGTCTGGCCATGTATTGATCCACCAAGGCGAAAACAGCAGCACGGCGACTCCGCATATCGGCTGTCTCAGTTCTCGGCTTGTATTTGCAGTCGGCCACCTCGCGCAGTCGGCATCTCCGTGGAGTCAGTATTCTTCTGCTGCGCCGTGCTCCAGGTTCCTGCTCATGGTCCTCGTCCCCTCCCTCCCTGCTTTTGCTTATGCTGCTGCTTCTCCTGCCTGTCCGTTCGCTCCCATCGTCCTCCTTCTCGTGCCCCCTCCTTGCCAATGAAGTGTGGGTCGCGTGACGCTCTGTACGTCGCTGCTCCTTCCTGCGTCCTTATGTACATTCTCGTGTTTGCCTCTTCCCATTCCGCGCGCCGTTGTCACTCGGACCCGCGTGCGGATCGCATGTGCCGCGCTGCGACGGAAAAAAAGTGCTTGTCTCTTCCCCTCTCCTCCTAGCTCCTCCTCTTGATTCATCACTCATCACCCCCCGTCACCATCAACCCATCAACCTGAATCCCTGCCTCCCTCCTCCATCCTCCACAGTCCCGCTATTCCTCCTTTCTTTTTGTTGCGTTTCCCCTGGTCACCCTGATAAAATGCTTGCCTCTGCTCCTCGGCCACCGTTCCCTACTGTCACCCTTGTCGTCGTCATTATTCCTCCACCGTTCCCCCTTTCTCGTCCAGCACCCCCGCCTGCGTCTCCTCCATCATCACGTATTCCCCCTCATCGTCTGACATCCTTTTTCCTCCTCTTCATCATCTTCTGTGCTCCTCATCTCCTCCTTCTCCTCGTCCTCCTCCTCCTCCCTCTTCTTCTCTGCGCATCCCTCCATCTGTTCTGTCTTTTCCTCATCCTGCGCATCGTGTCCTGTTTGTGTCAGCCTCCTTGCCCGCTGACACGGCCGAGGACGACTACACACTCTGCAAGGAGCTGCCTCCGTGCGAGAAACAGCAGGACGTAGCCTCAACCTCCTCGACCTTCGCTACGTATGGCTTCGGGAGTGCACACTTTTTCATCTTTTCTCCTCCTTCCTTCTCCAAGGGGACTGGAAGTAGGAGGGAGGGACGCCCAGGGCGAGGATTACATCTGCGCTTGATGGGGCCTGGCCTAGGCATGTTTCTCGCAGTTCCTCCTCCTCCTCCTCCACCTTCGCTTCTGCTTCTTTCTCCCGTTTGCCTCCTCCTCCTCCTCCTCTTCCTCCTCCTCCCTTCATCTTCTTGCGCTGTCCTCTGGCGACCCTGAAGCCCCCGCATTGAATCAAAGGCCGTCATCCTCCCCCTCCTCCTCTTCCTCCTCCTCCTCCTCCTCCTCCTCCTCCATTTCTTCCTCCTCCTCTTCCGCCCGCTCTCCTTCGGACGCTGCCCATCCTCCTCCCCCTTCCCCTCATCTTCTTTCCCCCTTCCTCGTCCCTCCCCCCTCCTCTCCTCCCCTCCCCTGTCGCCCTCGTCTGACCCCTCCCCCTTTCCTCATCTTCCTCGCTCTCCTCCTCGTCCTCCCCGCCTCCCTTTCCGTTCGGCACGGCTCGGCGCCCTCGACGGCGCGGTGCCGTGTCTGTGTTATCTTGGCACAGCAGCGGGTCAGGGTTCTCGGGGGCTCGGAGAAAGCAGGGAAACGAGCACAGAACTTCCTTCCCAGCTCTCCCTCTCTCTCTCTGCCTCCTGGATGGAGAAGGAGAGCCAGAACAGGGAAGGAGGGGGCGGGCGGATGCTGATGATGATGATGATAATGATGATGATGATGATGATGATGATGATGATGATGATGATGATGATGATGATGATGATGATGATGATGATGATCATGATAATGATGATGATGATGATGCTGATGATGCTGATGATGTTGATGGTGATGGTGATGGTGATGGTGATGGTGATGATGGTGATGATGATGATGATGATGATGATGATGGTGATGGTGATGATGATGATGATGATGGTGGTGATGATGATGATATTGATGATGCTGATGATGATGATGCTGATGATGATGATGATGATACTGATGATGATGATGCTGCTGATGATGACGATATTGATGCTGGTAGTGGTGATGCTGATTATGCTGATGATGATGATGATGGTGATGGTGATGATGATGAGGAGGAGGATGATGATGATACTGATGATACTGATGATGCTGATGATGCTGCTGATTATGATGACGATATTGATGCTGGTAGTGGTGATGCTGATGCTGATGCTGATGCTGATGATGATGATGATGATGATGATGATCCCGCTCTCCCAGGGGGGCCGCTGCCGACGATGATGATGATGATGATGATGATGATGAGGATGAGGATGAGGATGAGGATGATGAGGATGATGATGATGATGATGCTGATGATGATGATGATGATGATGATGAGGAGGATGAGGATGAGGATGAGGATGAGAAGGACCAGGATGAGGAGGAGGAGGAGGAGGAGGACTAGGAGGAGGAGGAGGAGGGGGAAGAGGAGCATGAGATGCAGGATGCGCCCGATGATGCGGATGAGTATGCCTTACGTCCTCTGTGCCCACGTCCCCGTCCCCTCCTCCATCACCATCCTCATCCTGCTCTGCGTCCTCCTCATCCTCTTCATTTCCTTTTCGTCTGCCCCCCCCATGTCCTCCCCCTTCATCCCCTCCCTCCCTCGCCGTTTCCCTCTGTCTCTCTCTCTCTCTCTTCCCCCCTTTTCTCTCTCTCTCTCTCTCTCTCTCAATCTCTCTCTCTCTCTCTCTCTATATATATAGATTCCCCTCCCCTCTCGCAGACAGGTCCTTCCTTCTCGCCTCTATTCCTCCCATACCTCCTCCCGCTTCGATGGAGGAAGGGAGGCGGCAGGAGGATGGGGGAGGACGAGCCCCCGGCTCCCTCCTTCACCCCTTCTGGTGCGGGCCGCGGGGGTCACCTCCGCCGCTCGTGCTGGCCCCGCCCCTGCCGCGAGAGGATTGCGAGCTGTCGGACTGGGCGGAGTGGAGCCGCTGCGCGGTCAAGTGCTTCGGGGTGCGCGAGCGTGCGAGGCCTGAGCTCGGGGAGGAGGGGGAGGGGGAGGAGGCGGAGGAGGAGGCGGAGGAGGAGGCGGAGAACGAGGAGGAGGAGAACGAGGAGGAGGAGGAGGAGGAGGAGGAGGAGGAGGCCAGCCAGACATTTAGGAAGGAGGAGGAGGAGGAGGAGGAGGAGGGGGACCAGCACATGGCAGCAGCTGCGCTACAGCTAAGGAGTGGAGGTGGGTGAGGCGGAGACTGGGAGGGGGGGCGAGGAGACGGACGAGGGGGGGTGATGGAGTGGTTGGCGGAAGAGATTGTGGAGACATGGCAAGGCACGATAAGGAATGAGTACAGACACAGGCGAGGACGAGGTCGATCACATGGTGACGGGGAGGGGGGTGTGAGCGAGGCGGGCGAGCGGGATAAGAAGTAAGGTTCGGGTTGGTACGTGCCTATTGGCACACGATGTTGGCGCGCACACGCTGAGATGTATGATGGAGATATTGGGGGAAGAGGAGACGCGGGAGAGATCTGAACATGGGGAGGGAAGGATAGAGGGAGATGAGGACGCGATGGAGGGAGAGAAGACGGGAGGAAGAGAGAGAGAGAGAGAGAACGAAGAGTGAAATGCGGGGGAGAGAGAATGATATTGAACATCAGGAGGGAGGAGGCGGACACTGGAAGCGGAAGGTGAATGAGAGAGCGTTGGGAAAGACGGTGTGAGGAAAGGTGATGGGTCGTCGTGCGAGCGTGGCGTGGGTGACAGGCCGTGCTCCCTCATCATTGGTTTATGCTCCTCCTCGCCATGCCGGCGCGCTTTCGGGCGGGCTCGCAAGTCGAGGTGTCCCGACGGTGCTCCGACAGTGTTTTGCCAGTGCCCCGATGGTGTCCTGATAGTGCCTCGTTCGGAGTTCGTTGGTGTCCCGGTGGTGGTCCGATTGATTTTGGATGATGTCTTGACGGTATCCTAGCAGAGGTGCGACTGTGTCCCGATTGCGTTCTTGCTGACCTGTACTGCTGCGTCGGCCGCCGCAAGTATAGCTGAGGTGTAAGATGGACTCTGCGGTTTAGCGGTTGTGCAGTCGGTCAATTGCGGTTTGCGCGCAGCGCTGGCTTGAAGCGTTGGCATGTAGCGCTGGCTTGAAGCTGAAAGCTAGAAAGTGCGGCTGCGCAGCTTTAACTTTTGCGCAGTTATCAATGCTCAGCCTTGACACTGCTTTGAGCTGGTTGGCGCTAAGCAAACAATGACCATGTCGTCGAAGCGCGGTGTCGCGGCATCGTGGCAAGTTGCAGCCGAAGCGAATGTTGAATGGTCGCGGCTACGAGGAGGGGTGAGAAGGGCAATCGGTGAGATGCAACGGGGGAAACTGCCCCGCAAACTGGCAGCATCATTCACCCGCTATGGACGGCTTGCTGCAAGCGCCTGCAGCCCAGAGAGGCGAGCGTCTGCATTTGCGGCGTCCCCCTCGCCACGCTCCTCTTTCCCCCCACCTCGTCCCTTCCTGGAGAGGGACGGCAGGGAGGGGAGGGGAGGGGTGTGGCGGAGAAGGGGGAGGAGGAGGGTGGGAGGGGAGAACGGACCTCCCCTCCCCTCCCCTCCTCGGCCAGTGCCGTCCCTGGCGTGGGCGACCGCCTGCTCCAAGAGTGGCGGGATGTGGGGCTCGTGGTGGCCCTCCGTCGGAGCCCAAGCGCGATCGAGCTGCGGGCCGTGCTCGGCGGAGCGGCTATGCAGGCGCGTCGCGCCCAGGTCTCCTCGAGGTTCCTGCTCGGTTACCCCCCCCACTCCGACGAGGACAAGGCGTCGACACCGTTACCCCTGCCTCGAGTTCGCCCTTCTGGGCCTCCTGTGAGGCCCTCGTCGCCGCGGCCAGATTTGCCTCGCCATTCTGGTCGGAGCGCACCGCGGGAGAGGCCCTGGTAGCAGCGGTGCTGGTAGATCTTTGTGGCCCCGCGTGCACGTCCCCTTCTCACGCCCTTGCTCCTCCGCTGCTGCTCATCTCCCTCCTGCCCCCCTCGTCCCCCTGCCCCCCCCCCTCGCCGAGAGCGTGCCCTCCCGCGAGGCACGTCGCGAAGATGGCCTCCGGTGGCGGGAGGTCGTGCCACAACGAGAGCCTGAAGGAGGTCGGGCCCCGCCGCCCCGGGCCGGCGCGGCGAGGATCCCTCCTCTGTGCTCCGGCCTCCTGCTCGTCCTCCTGCTCAGCTGGCTTCCTCTTGCTCCTGCTGCGCGCCCGCCCCTGCGTCCCTTCTCACGTCTCTCTCTCTCTCTCTCTCTTTCCCTTTCTCTTTTTCTCACACACTCTCTCTCTCTCTCTGTGGAGGTTCGACGATCACGTGTGCACAGGGGTCGAGGCGTCGGACAAACATGGAGGCGTCTTGACAGATTTCGTTGAGGCGCCTTGAACTCTAACTTTGGGCGGCTGCGAGTCGACAAGTGTTGTGGAGCAGGCGTGGGTCAGGGAGTTGGTTGTACATCTGATCGGGTTTGGGTCCAGCAACTGTCTGCAGTGTCTGGCTCAGGTCACCGCCTGGGCGAGGTGATGCTCGCATGTGCTGTTGGCGGAGTGTGGACACGAGCCAAAAAGAAAGCAGCGATACCCAAATATGCTGGACCTGAGCCGTGCACTAGGTGTAAGGAGCGGCCCGAGACCAGCGTGGACAGATTCTGGGAGTGCGAATGCAACCAGAACAGCCCTGCATACGACAACTCGGCCGACCTAGTGTCGCAAGCTACGGCTTTGCCCAGCAGGAGTCTGAGGCAGCTTTCTGGACGAGAGGCATTCTGCACAGTTGTGTACAGCAGTGCCGCCGCCACAGGACGAGTGCTGGACGTGCACCATGCATGACGAAGCGTGCGCCGCCTGTCTTGGGGAGGGCACGAGGTGGTACCGATTCGTTTGTTTGAAGATTGCGAAGGACTTCCGGCCGGTGCCGCCAACCCTGAATGGCGACGACGACGACGACGACGACGACGACGACGACGACGACGACGAGCGCTCTCGGGGGCCTCCTGGGGGTGGTTTGGGGGCCTCTTGGGAGGATCTTGGGGGCCGCTTGTGAGCCTCGTGGGGTCCTCTTGGGGCTTCTGGGGATCTCTTCGGAGCCTCTTGGGGCCTCTGGGGAGGCTTCTTAGGGGCCTTTGGAGGCCTCCTGGGAGCTTCTCAGGCAGAGGGCTCGAAATGACCGTTCGGGTCCCCCGTCTGCATTCCCTCTTGGAGCCGTGTTGGGGGCCTCTTCGGCTGTCTTGGAGGCCTCTTGGGCGGTCTTGGGGCCTTCCTGGAGGCCTCTTGGGCCACCTTGGGGCGGTCTTGGGGGCCTCTTGGCCTGTCTTGGAGCGTCGGCAAGCTGGCAATGCGAGAATGCCGGAATCTTCCATAAACCGGAGGGAAGTCGATGATTTTTGCCCCTTGGGGCCCTCTTGGAAGTCCTCTTGGAGGCCTCTTGGGGCGTTTTGGAAGCCTTTTGAGCCGTCTGGGGGCTACTTTGACGACTTGGACCGATGCTTCGGCGAATTGGGGCCCTCGAGGACCGGCTTGGGGGCATCTCGGGGTACTTTTGCCGCGCCTTGAGGCTTTTCTGGGCCCCCGAACCGCCCGCGGGGAGTCGTATCTGGGTGGCGACCCCCCCGGGGGGGCGGCGACCCCCCCCCCCTGGCGGGGAAGTTATCAAAGGGAAGGGGCTTCCCTTCGCCTCGACTACAAAGTTGCTCAACTTCGCTGTGGCTGGCGCGCTCGAGGAGGAGGGCCCGGTGAAAGTGGGGGGGGCGAAGGCGACGACGACGACGACAACGACCACGACGACGACGACGAGTCAAACGGAACAGCCTCTTCCACACGCCGACAGGGTCAGCGGATGACGGAACGCGTCAGCGAGGTACGAGAAGCGAGCTGGACGCCGTGGCCGAAGCTGCAACACATCTAACAATGACGGGAAGCGTCTTCGAGGTACGAGAAGCGAGTTGGACGTTGTGGCTGAATATCTAAGCATCTCTTACTCACATAGGGTGGCGGGGTGCACGGCGCCATTCTCCAGCGGATCCCCCCAAACAGTGATTTCGTTCGAGACATCCTCACAACAATGAGATATTCGCGACATCGCGTTTAACAAAAACAAGCGTTTCGCCAGAGACACCCTCGAACAACTGATCGCTGCGATATTCATCAATATGTAAACATAAGGGTTTCGCCTGAGAGATCCTAGCCCAAATGTGGTGTCGATGGAGGTGTATTACTACCTCTCATGTCGAAAACTACGTTTTCGCTAGGGACGTCCTCAGAAAATGAGTGGCGCCACGGCGAACCAGGAAAAAGAGCACGGCAGAACATTTGCATTTCGTTGGGGACATCTTCAAAACATATAATGTTCTTAACATCGTCTTGACATTGTTCTTGAAGTGCCTCAAGATGAAGAAACGAGAGCAAAAAAGGACCCAATGATGACTACAAGAGCGCCCTGATGACTGCCGACAATGACGATTTCGCTAGGGACATGTTCAACCAATGAACAAATATAGCAGCACCGTTTTGAAAACAAGTGTACTAACATCGTCTTGAGATCTCTCTTGGAAAAGGCTACCAGACGGCCCAAGCCAGGCTTCTTCAAATGACGATTTCGCTAGGGACATCCTCAAAACAGAGATGCGTGTGGCATCGCATTGACATCGTTTTTGATGGCATCGAAACGGCCCCGAACGAGCCCCACACGAGCCCCAATATGACCCCAAGAGCGCCCTCGAGATCCCTCAACATGCGCATTTCCTTAGATACATCCTGAGAACATGAGTTGTTCGCAACACCGTCTTTCACAACAACAAGCATGTCGCCGGAGACATCCACCAGAACATGAAAACCGTGAACTAAGCAAACGTATGGAAATATGGAGATCGCCCAAGACATCCTCGAACAAATGAGATGCTGAAAAGGCTGTCTTAAGACCATGCATATTAAAACTGAGCTTTTCGCCTGAGACATCTTCAGAACATGGGCAGGACTACCGCAGACCAACGCACAGAAGCACGGCCGAACGCACGCCACGACATATCTGCGCGACAGGCCAACAAAAAAGCATACTTCACATACCTAGTGGACAACACCGACGTTTCCCGTTCTTGTCCGGTCAGGTTTTACGAGCGACGCTCGATTCGATGGCTGCCGATTTGGCGGCGCGCAAAAGATGAGCGGGAAAAAGAATCATCTCCTCCCATCGGGGTCCCTCCTTCTGCTGCCTCGCTCTCCCTCTTCTCCACCACGCACTGTCTGGATGCCACGGGGCGTGGGTGCTCAAGGTGCGGAGTCTCGGCCTCGAAGGCCAGGATGGTGCAATGGCGATCCGTCCCGTGTTTCGAGCCCATCCATGGCAACGGTGTCATATGGTTTAGACCCCCCAAAGCCCTGCCACACATAGCAAGGGGTCTCGTGCACGAATCCCATCATATGCCATAACACGGTGCCCTAAAGCATTGGTATTGACGATGTTGTGGTAGTTTTGGGTCCACTCAGCTCATTCGTATTGGGCAAGGCTGCAACCGTCATTAATCAGTTGCTCGTGCTGCACATCGACATTGCCCCTTGCTCATACCCGTACTCATACTCATACTCCTCCTCCTCCTCCTCCTCCTCCTCCTCCTCCTCCTCCTCCTCCTCCTCCTCCTCCTCCTCCTCCTCTCCCCGGCTCCTCTCCGTCTCCCTCTCCTCCCCGCCCCGCAGGTCGAGCCCTGCAACCCCGGGCCAGGCGAGGAGGTGTCCCCCGAGTGCGGGCCCGACACCCCCGAGAGCTGCAAGGCCTGCCTGGAGGAGGGCAAAGGGCAGGAAGGGGAGAGGGGTAAGAAGGGGCGAGGAGGGGGAGAGGGGGGAGGAGGGAGGAGGGAGAGAGGGGGAGAGGAGGGCAGGGGCGAGGAGGGGGAGAGGGGGGAAGTGGGAGGGGGGGGAGAAGGTGTTTGGGTTTTCCGGGCCTCCTGGGAGGCCCTCGTCGCCACGGCCGAGTTATCCTGGGAACCTTAGTCAAAGCGCACCCCGGGAAAGGTCACGGGCATAGTTGTTCCGATATTTTCTTGTCGGGGGGAGGAGGGGGGGAGGAGGAAGGGAGAAGAGGGAGGAGGCGGAGGAGGAGGAGGAGGAGGAGGAGGAGGAGGAGGAGGAGGAGTAGGAATGGGGGAGCAAAGACACCTCATAGCCTGCGCAAGGATAAGGGGGTGGCAAAGAACAGGTATGTTCAGGACGGGAACGACGAGGGGGTGGAGGAGGAGGAGGAGGAGGAAGCAGGAGGAGGCAGCAGGGAGGGGCCCAGACTCTTGGCGACTCGACAGAACAGCGCACCGCGCTCGAGTTCCTTTTGCTCCCCGCACTCACACTCCGGGTGCCATATTTTCGGGCTCTGGGGCCGTTCAGCTCGGGGGCTTGTAGAGGGGGGGGTTCTCCCAAGGTGGGGTAGGGAACGAACCCAGCTGGACGCTCGCACTTCCTTCTCCCGCGAGCCGTTCAGGGCGGTTTTCCTCCCAACCCCACTCCTGCCCCTGCCCCACCTTTGTGTACAAGAGGGGATGGGCTCGAAAGTTCCAGGGGCCGAGGACTCGAGAGAAAATCAAATCGTCGGAGGCTCGAGAGGGAGGTTCTTTGTTACCGAGCAGCGAGGCTGACCAATGACCTGGGAGGGCGGGAGGCTGCCAGCCCAGTCAGAAGCGATGCCCAGACAGAAGACAGCCCCGGTCAACGAGAATCGGCGAGCAGGCCGAGCAGGTTTCAAAACAATATTGAGACATGTATGTGTACATTGGTTTCTTCCCGAGCAGGGGGCGGGGTGGCAGTAAGGACGCCTCGTTTTGAAGGGGGGGAGGAGGAGGGAAGAGGGGGGAAAAGGGAGGAGGAGGTGGAGGAGGAGGAGGAGGAGGAATTGCGAGGAAGAGGTGGGTATGCTCTTCTCCTGAGGAAGTACATCATTGGATATGTTTGCGATCTCTCTTTCTGTCGCTCTGTCTCTCTCTCTCTCTCTCCCACTCTATCTTACGTTCTCTTGGCGTATCTCTTTTCAGGAGGAAGTTCTTTCGGGAGCCCCGGGGGGGCGTTTGGGGGACATCGTTGGGGGCCTCCTGGAGCAATCTTGGAGGACGTCGATCAAAGTTGTCCATCTTGCGTTATCTAAGCCCCTCTTGGGACCATCCTGGAGCCCTCTTGAGGTTCACTTGGGGCCCTCGTGGGGCCCTAGAGGCCGATCAAAGAGGGGGGCGGCCTCTGAATTAGCGCTGCTTCTCTTGAGCACAAGTCGTCTCTTGGGGCCTTCTTGGAACGCTCTTGGGTCACTGTTTGGCGCCCTTGGGGCCGTCTTGGATTCCTCTTGGGCCTTTCTTGGGGCTCTTTTAGGGCCGTCGTGGAGCCATCGGGGGCGTCGTTGGGAGGCTCCGTGGCCACTCGAGGCCGTCTTGTAGCAGCCTTAGGGGCTCTTGGAGCACGTTGGAAGACATCTTGCGTCATCTTGAAGTAGATTGGGCCATCTCGGAGCCTGCCCCTCCCCCCCCTCCCCCGTGCAGACCCAGTGGGATGGGGGTAGGGGAAGGGGTCAAGCTACCCACAAGCAACAGGCCATCTCGCTCATTCCCACCCGCCCTCACGACACAAAGTAGCACCCAAGTCTCAGAAAGGACAGGGGCCGCCATCGACAATCATCGCGAACCAATGCAGACGCCAGCCAGGTGCGCGAAGCCCGCGAGGTGTGCCGCACATGCCAGATGCGCCACGCGCACCAGGTGCGCCCGCCACATTGGGCAATCTGTCGACCCTCCCACCGCCCATGTCAAACAACAGTGCGAAGTGAAGGCGGGTTTGGTGTATGCGGGCGGGCGCCCGCCATCGCTTCGCATGCTTTTACTGACAGGGGTGGTGGCCCTGCGCACAGCAGGCAGTATGTCGCCCCCCCTCCCCGCCGTCCCTTTCTAGCAAACTGAGCTATTGATTTTCCTTTTGAAAGGGATGGTGGGCCTGCACACAGTAGGCCATATGCCAGCACACCCGCCACTTCTCGTCAAAAGCCAGTGACATGTGAGCGCGAGGCCTCCGCGCATGACCCAGATGCTGATACAACGTGTTTCGGGTATTGGTTTGGCAAGGGAAGGTTGGGGGTGCTGGCATTGCACACAGCAGGCCATATTATGCCTCCCCCGCCGCCCCTGTCGAAAACCAATGCAGAGTGATCGCAGAGCGTCTGCGCATGATCCAGACTTTGGTGCAAAGCGCACTTCGCATAGTTCTTGTTGCAAGGGATAGTGGAGGGGGGGGTGTTGACCTGCGCGTAGCAAACAATCTGTGGGCACACCCGTTGTCCCTGTCAAGCACCATGCTAAATGGTCGCGAGGCGCCCACGCATGGAGCTTCGCTCACTCCCGCCCGCCCTTTCACCACAGAAGTAGCATGGGCCGCGCCGACAACTATCGGCAACCAACGCAGACGCCAGACAGGTGCGCGACGCCCGCGAGGTGCGCCGCGCGTGTCAGGAAATTCCCATCATCCGAAGGTTCAAGAGGGTTGGCTCAAAGAGGAGGCTCCGAAAAGTGCACTTGACACCCACCGTTCGTTATTTTTCCCACCTATCCGTTCCCACGCCACTACCTTCATACTTCCAGCGTAGCTTGTCGTAACGTTTTGGCTAACCTCTTAGACGCCTTTACGTCGACCGCCAAACGAGGACCGTCAGCGTCTCCGGCGAAGGAGAAGCTCGAGAAGTTCCAGCTCCTGGAGGAGTCCTTGAGCTTTCAAACGCCAGGAACTTCCTCGCAGCGTGGCCCCACGCAGTGCCCGAACATGGATATTCTTGAGGCCACCCACGCACTTTCGGAGAAAATTGACAAGATGGCCTGAAAGTGAAACGTTGAGGACATGAAGAAAGACCTGCAGACTCAGATGAGACTCTCCGTGTCTGAGGCGGCTAACACCCTAAAGTCTGACATGTCTGACTTGATTCAGCGCGTTTCAAAACTAGAGCAGGCACCGACAGCAGCGGAAACGTCTAGCAAGGTCATCGCCGATCCTCAAAGTGCCGTTAATTTGATCGACCCTGCTCATCGCTGCGTCGCGTTAGTCGGATGGCAAGGTGACGCTGCCGAGGATACCAGGGCGATGGAACAGTTCTGCCGCTCTCGAGTTCCACATGTTCGTCCAACTGGTTTCGGACGTGAGTGTTCCGGCCCATTCTCCAACATGAAGTTCTCTAACATTTCATGGGTGGAGTCCCGCATCAATGACGTCGCGAAGTCCTGTCTTGGGGCGGTGGGGTCCCCTGGGATCAGTTGTGAGCATCGTGGCAAGCACATCGTAGTCAAGATGGACCGCACAAACATGCAAAAGCAGCGGAACTGGGCGATTCGCGTGGCCGACTCGATCATCGAGGAGAGCCCGCAGTCGACCGGCAAAGAGTTGAAAATTTCGTGGAAGGTGGAGGCGTCTAAGGAGAGGCAGGTGGTCGTCAACAACGTCGCTGTCTTTCGCCAGGGCACAGATGACCCGCATGGCTCGATGGAGGCAGAGTTTGAGCACTTCGTCATCGAGTAGGGCGTTCTTGGGCCCGTGAATCAACGCCCCCACCCTTAGATAACTAATGCTTATATCAGGCGCGCCCGCTTCTCTGAGGCAGATGAGCGGCCCCAGCAGACAGCGCCCCATCGTCGTCTTCGACTCCGGGGCTCACGCCTTGCACAATCTCATGCGCTCAGACTCCAGCAGTGGAAGCATGCTTCAGGCAACTTTCGCCCTCCTGACGGCGGTCGGCGGAAATCCGGGCCTGAGCCGTCGGGCCGTAATCTGCATTTCTCCGTTCTCAACGTGAGCCTCGGCGGATGTGTTAGCCGCGCGGCTGAACTTCACCGCGGGCTTGCTTTGGCAGGTCTCCCAGATATTGTAGCTATGGCAATTTTTTCTGGAAGAGTAAGTTTCTGAAGATGATTTGGAAGGTTATTGGCGGATTTCCTTTTTCGATCCTCGCGATGGGAGGAACGGAGGAAATCCGGGGGTCTTGCTTTGTTCTCCAAGTCAAGTTTTGCTCGGCATGTTGGTCGCGCGGGTGGTTCCCCTGAGTGCGAGCGCCCCTGGTACCAGCCACCTTGCCCTGGAAAGGTGGGGTCTCTTGTAGAATTCGAGGGGGAATGGGGGCAGCTCCGGCATCTTGCACTAGGAGCCCTCGTCGTGGAAGACACGAATGTGCATTCAGCTTCTTGGTTGAATCATTCACGCAGCAGTTCTCATGAACGCCGTCCCGCGCAAATCGCACGCTCGCGAATGGGCCCGCTGGAGAGAGACTCAGGCAGCTCACTCGTGGAGAATGCTTGCTTGACTTTGTCCTGATGCACATTTGCACCGGGGTCAAGTGCAAAGTGCTTCCCCAGATCGCCGACCACGCGGCTGTCTTGGCAAAAGTGGAGCTTGCCGCAGCATTCGGCTCCCATTGAAAAAGATCGTTGGGGGCGCACACGAGCGGATTGGAATGGGCGTTGCGAATCTTTGGGCGGCACCACTTGGAACGACCTGCTTGCTGAGTGTGACCCCGATGAAGCTGCTAACATGTTCAGCCATAACTACGATTATTGTGCGAGCCTGGATGTACATTCCTATATCACATAGAGCACGTCGTAAGTCTCCCCATCCATGGCTGAACGGGCGGAGCCGGTAACTCATCGAAGCTAGAGTTCACGCATCAGGTACTCGTGATGTAGACCATGCCGTTAAAACTTGCTTGCATGGGATGTTGGAAGAGCAATCAGAACGCGCGCTGGGTGAGGCTCAAGCTTTGTCTGTGAGTTCTTCGTCCAAGAGGTGGTGGACACTGTGCAGCTCGTTGATGCTGCGAGCTGGACGCCTTTTCCGCTTGGCCCCCACGGCGAGCGGGCGCCCGCGGCATCTGCCGAGGCCGACATCTTTCGCGCGAGTTGTTTTCCGAAGTGCGGTCTCCCAGAACCCGTTCCAAAACAGTATTCTGCGATGCAGGGCCCTGAGCGTCAGAGAGTGACCGGCCTCCAGCCTGCGCGCGCACGCTGGGTGAAAGTTGTTCTCGAAGAGCTTCGGGGCAACTGCGGCGCCGGCTCTGATGGTGTGCCGGCAATGATTGAAGCGTTGCTGGCGTCCTTTGTCCGTTCTGCTGGGGATGTTGACCCGGCTTCTCCTGTCATCTGGAATTTGCCCGTCTTATTGGGAAATCCATTCGCGATGTTTGTTGTTGAATTGTGGCGCCAAACCCAAACCCGCAGTCTACAGGGGAACAGCTTGGCATCCAACGTTGCTCGAACGAATTGCCAGTCGATTCATGCTTCCACGCTTCGAGGCGTCTGGCTCGCGCGGGAACAACTAGTTTGCGCATCGCGGCAGCAGCGGTTACAGGGGCGTTCTAGCCTTCAACGTCTTCCAATGGATTTGGGCTCCTGGCTCTGGCTGGCCGGTTGCTCCCTGTTGTCCTGGCGTCTCCTGCAGCCCTCGACTTGGTAAATGCCAGTCGCTTGGTGGAAGAATTACAAGCGCGCGGCGTTTGCGACGTCCTCTTGAAGGCCATCGATCTTGGCAGGATTCCCAGGGGTCAAAGTCTGCGCCGATGGGTCAGTCGCCGAGGACTTGAAGATTCAGAATCCAGTATAGCGGCCCCAGGCGCTACTTCGAACAAGGCCGTTTTACTCCACTGCTGAGCTGTCGTTTGCGCAAGTGCCACGGGCTGTCGTGCATTGAGGGTAGGAGGAGTCGGCTTGCAGGGGGGGGCGGGCGCGGGGGGGGGCGCCAACGACCGCGCCGATTCCATCGCGGCCCGCTGCCCCTTCCCGGGACTCTCAGGAATCCTCCGGGCCCAGTCGGCCTCGCAGTCGGCGCCGGCGTCGCGCCGCGCGCGAGCGCCAGCCGGCGGGCGGGCCGACCTTGTTGCGCATGTTTGGCGCGAGAGACCCGCGCGGGCCTCGCGCTGTGCCCGCGCCCCAGGGCGACGGCCCAGGCCCTTGTAGCCTCCCGCGCTGACGCGATGGCCTCGCGCGCGGCGCAGGAGCGGGCGCCGCCGACCGTTCGGTTCGGTTCCGCGCACTTCTCATGCGCGAACGCAAAGCCCCCCATGCTGCTCGCGCGCTTTGCGCGCTGAGCAGCATGGGGGGCGACGGCCGCGCGTTCGATTGGAAACTGCAACGCAAGTTTCCATTCCCGCGCGCGGGGCGGGGTATGAACTTACAGATGCGCCGACGGTCGAGAACTCGCGCGCGCGCCCGCGCCTGCCATGTTGGGCGCGCGCACTGGGCCCGGAAATCTGCGGCTCGGCCGCCCGATGCGCCCCAAAAATCGCTCCGCCTCCCCCCCCGCCCCCCTCCCCCGCAAAACTCTTCCGCGCTCCTGGAAAAACCATGCCGCCGAGGCGGGAGCTCGGGCCGCGGCCTGATGGTCCCCGGGGCACAGGGGAATCAAAGGAATCAGTACGGAATCAGTACAGAATCAAAACAGAATCGGCACAACTGCGACTCCTGATTCTAGCGGAATCAAAAGAATCAGCACGGAATCAGTGCGGAATCAAAGGAGGAATCGGCGATGGAACCAGAATCGGCCAGAACGGGGAAGTAGGCCAGAATCGGTGCCAGAACCCATGGAGAGAGGCCTTTTTCCCGCGAGTTCATTGCGGCGGGTCCGCGACGCGGTCGCTCCGCGCGACTTCGCTGGTTCAGCGAGGCGCGCAGTCGGCGTTCAGAGTGAACAGGTTGTTTTCAGGGCGATATCCTGGCGGCGCGCTGGCGCATTGCGCATTTGCGTATTCCTGGCGGGCTGTTTGTGGGCGACCCGGCAGCGTGGGCCGAATGGCCCGCAAATACCGCGCGGCCGATCGCGCGCCCCATGCGGCCACGTCGACCGCCGTGTGCCGCGACGGCCGCGCGCCCCGGACCGCGCCATTGCCGCGTTGGATTGGACGGCGCAGCGCCCGTCTTCCAAAAGTCGTTACATGCATATCGCGCGTGTCGAGCCAGCAGCAATCGCTTCCCAGAAGCAGCCTTGACAGGCGCCCCATGCCCGTTGTCGCCCGCTTCCGACCCAAATCATAGTTTCTTAGGATGCGCTTGCGCGAATGTGTGCGCGCGGGCAAGTAACGCGCGCGCGCTTGGCGCAGCCTGGGAAATCCAACATGGAGCCCCCTGGGGGCGCGGGGCGCCGGCGACGCCTCCGCCCGCCTCCCGCGCGCCCGACCCCCCCCGCACGCCGACTCCTCCTAATTGAGGGTGCTACCCTGCAGTTCACCGCGCTGCTGAAGCCGCTTTCCGCCATTTCGACGGACTGCAAGACGCTGTTCTGGAAGGCGCGGGCCTGACCCCCAAGGAAGCACTGCTCGAGCACAACATGGGCACACTGAGAAAGTGGCGTGGCAATGCTATGGCTTATCTTCTCTACAAGGTTGCTCATTGGGAAGCACCGGCGTCGTTGGCTTCTCTAAGGTAAGGTTCCTCATCGGGTAAGGGAAGGTTCCTCATAGGGTTCGCGTCTGCACAGCAAGGCATTGCAGAAACCTCCCCAACCTGGCCATCTTTGAATGGTTCATCGGTCCATCTATGGTTTGATTCCTATAGCCAATCGCTTGCCTGACGTGGCAGTGCGTGCTAGTTTTGTCAAATGCTCCCATCGTTCGTTGCGACGTTTGGCCAAGGACGCTGCCGTGTCTGGTGGCCGCGTGTGGTCTCCAACTTTCCGCCCGGGCTGACGCCGTCGAGAGACTTCATGCATCGTGCGTTTCTGATTTATCGAGGGTTCGCCGTCGAACAAGTCCCTGTCACATAGCTATGTAAAGTGATCTCGGGGCGCCTGAACATGATCGAGATGTTGCCAGACCCAGGGGGGGGGGGTCGAGCACCCGAGTCGGGATGAACCGCTCCAGGAAGGGGAAGAGGATGTATAGAAGAGGACACACCCTAAACCACTTCCGCCGTAGAGGGTTGTTGAGATGTTGTGTGAAATGAAACCGCCCGAAGGGTGAACGGGAACAATCACCGGATGACCTTGCCCATCCACCTCTTCCTGCTGCTGGTGCTGCTGCTGCTGCTGCTGCTGCTGCTGCTGCTGCTGCTTCTGCTCGTCCTCCTCCTCCTTGTCCCTGTTTTTTCTGTTCCTTCCGCGCTTGAGTGAAATATTGCCCGTCGAAGGTTGGCGAGTGGGATGACTGGTCCGAGTGCTCGGCCACCTGCGACGGGGGCCAGAGGAGCCGAGGGGCGGATGGGATTTCGGCTGGGGGAGGAGGGTCGCGGGAGGAGGATGTGGAGAAGTTTGCCGGGGTACGAACGAAAAGGAATGAAGGTAAGCGCATGGGGCAGCACTCTGCCGTGGCCTGCTTGCGGTGCCTCGAATGTCCATGTCCGCCCACCTCGACCTCCCTCCGCTCCGCCACCGCGGGCGCACGAGGGACTCCGCTGTCGCTTTGCGCCAGGGACATGGGAGCAGAGGAGGAGGAGGGTACCCAGAGCCACCTCGACGCTCCGAGCTCCTAGATACCGTCCAATGTGGCTCCTCAGGGACGGGGGAGGCTCATCCCACTCTCCGCCCCCCCAAAATCGCGCGGGATGTCCCCGCCAGCGAGCCCATTGCTGGTCCTGGGGCTGTTGCATGTGCTGCCTCTGCTCCCGCTGCTGCTCCATCGGGCTCGTCGTCCTCCTTCTAAAAGGCATGTTCGCCCCACGTCGACGCGGCGACGACGCCAGCGCGGGCGTTCAAGGTTGAACGCCTCGGGCCCTGAGGGCCCACAGGGAAAGACCACGGCGCGAAATTTCGATGAGAGATGGCATCCGTTGCCCTCAACAGGGTGCCTGGTGACGCAGATCGTTCAAGGCGGAACGTTTCAGGCGGCGGCAGAAAACATTACGTCGCCAAGGCTGGGACATGCCATATCCTCATCTTGCTGCAAAATTTCGCCAAAAGTATCCCAACCACCATTGGGACGTGGTACAGTCAACGCGCATTGTAAGGATGAGCGGCTTTTCAAGGTTACCCTTGCATCCTTCCCCTTCGGCCCATCCTTGGCCACGTTCGCGGGCCGCGCCCCGCTCGAGAAGTGTCGACGTGGACTTTCAAGGCCCTTGCATCCTCATCGTGCATCCTTATTTCGGATTTTCGGATGCAACTCCCGGTCGAATTCTGACTTTGCACTGGTCCGAAATCTGGCTTAACCCAGTTTAATCCCATTTAATCAGGCTTAATCCCGCCCAATCCGGCCTCGTTCTGCTCAGTCCGCGGCCGAATCTGGCGTCACAGCCCCCAAATGGGGCCGAATTCTCCCCATGAGAATCCTCCCGACGAAGACCCCCCAGTAGCTGCCTCCGAGCTTACGATACGTATCGACTGTAAGGTGGCTCTCCCAGCATGCCCCCTTCCCCTTGGTGGAGATGCGTTCGGGTCCCAGCGCCCTCCGTGGCCGTTTCGGCCCTGGGACAGCCAGCAGAGGCGTGCCCGCTCGCCCCCCGCGTCTCGATATGCTCCTCGGGACGTGCACGTGTTGGCCCAGCGTTCGAGGTGGGGGATCGACTACAGGACCGATTTACCCCAAAGTTGATGTTCTCGCCGAGTCGACGAAACAAATACGCCCGCAGGTCTCGACGAGGGAACGGACTCTGGGGCAGATCAGTTCTGTGGTCGATCTCCCTCTCGAAGCGCGTGTTTCACCCGTTCATCAGGCGTTCGATCACGGACCCCTCCTTCGGGGCCGTCGCCCAGCTTCCGCGCCGGAGGCCGCCAGAAGCCCCCCGAAGACCGCCGAAGACCGCCCGAGGCCGAGGGGCCACGAGGGGCCCATGGCCGAACATACGCAGCGTTATCCTCCCCCGACAGCACGCGGCCTCCTCGTCGGCCCCGTGGGGCCTCGGGCCGTGCGGCGCCCCTCTCGGCGGGCGCCACGGAGCGCGCGCGCGCGCCTAGGGGCACGTCGAGCGGCGCGGCCGGGCTCCCGCCCCTGCAGCGCCGCCCCGGGCCGCATGGCCGCCGCCCGGCGGGCGCGGGGAGCCTGGCTCGCCCTGGCGCCCCTGCTCGCCGTGGGCGCGGCTGCGCCGGCGGCGGGGAGCGGCGGAGGGGAGCCGGCGGCGGCGGAGCTGGCGCCGGCGGCGGCGGAGCTGGCGCCGGCGGCCGGGGGCAGAGACGGGCCGCGGCCGCCCGCGGGGGGGGCGTCGGCCGCGGAGCACGCCAGGAGGTCGCAGGAGCTGTCGCAGAGGATCCAGGCCACGAGGGAGGCGTTCGAGCAGCGGCGGGGGCAGCGGCAGCAGAGGGGCAGCGTCAGCGCCAACGGCTCGAGGCCAGCGCGAGAGGAGCGCTGGAGGAAGAGAACGCTGGGCAGGGGCTTGGCGGCCGCGAGGGGCACGCTGGGCAGCCTCTGGGACAGGGCGGGGGCAGCACTGCAGAGGCCCAAGAAGAGGCCGAAGCTCCCGAAGGCGCTCGGCCAGCGAAAGCGGGGGGGGGAGTACGCCACGATCGAGTTCGCGAACGGGGACACGGGTGCAGGCGATGTCGACGTCTTCTTTCTGCAGCCCACGCCGAGGGTGGAGGGCTCGGAGGTGCCTCCGCTCAAGGAGGTGCTGGTGGGCACTGTGAAGGCCGGGGAGAAGCTGCGACAGCGGACGCAAATCGGTCACCGCTTCATGGCGAGGCCGAAGGAGAGAGGCAGGCAACCTCAAGAGGTGTCCGTGACGAAGCGGACAGAAATCGTGCACCTCTCGATTGGCTCTGAGCTGTGACGCCAGGGTGCCGAGTCCCGCCCAGGAGCCCTCCGCGGGCATTTGGCGGGAGGCGACGGCGGAGCTGCCTTCGAAGATGCCTCCCTCCTCCTCCGCCTCCTCCTCCTCCTCCTCCTTCTTCTCACTCCTCGTTCGCCACCCTTGGTGACCACTCTGCCTCCCTCGCCGTCCTCCACCCTGCCTCATCTGGCGCAAGCGTTGGGCAGCACTCCCCGCGCGAGCTCGGGCCCCGCGCCCTAGCCGCCGCCGCGCCGCGGACGTCGTCGTCGCCGTGGGGCGGGCGGAGGGGCCTCAGGTGGCCGGCGGCTGCAGGCGCGCGCGAGGGGGCGGCGCAAGGGGGGGGCGCCCTCCCGCGAAGCCGCGGGGCTTCTCGGGAGGCGGGGCCCCCCGCCCCCCCCCCCCCCCCCCAGAGGGTCCCGGAGGCTTCTGAGAAGGCCGGGTGGGCTCCCGAAGGCCCCCCCCTTGCCTGTTGAGAGGCCTCGCCTCTCCTCAGGGGGCCGCCCCTCACGCCATCCTTGTGTGCGCGCCGCCAGCGGGGGGCCTGAGGGATCGCTGTCGCTGCTGCTCCTGAGCGGGGACGCGGGGGCGTCGCACGCGGCTGAACCCGGAGCAGTGCAGGTAGAGGCGCCCGGATTAGTAGGTCGACCTTGCCTAATCGAGGGTACCCTCGTGTCCTGTGTCTTGCGACCCATGCCTCCTGCAGTTCTGTTGCAACGTGGCCCTCGGAAAGGGTCTTGTGTCCCATCGCGTGTCCTCTCCCATCAAGTCCGACTGCAGCAGATCACGGGGTGGTGGAGGACGCCCTGCAACGGGTCCATGGCCAGGCGGGATCCCCGGGGCCTCTCGGGAAGCCTTGCGGCCTGGCGGCCGTGGTGTGCGGGGGCTGGAGCTTTCTGCTTGACGCCCTGGCAATCCAGCTCGTCGGGTGGGGGGAGGCGCTGGCTATCGGTGCCACTCCAAGGGAAAAGAGAAGGAAGGAGGGGTGGAAGGAAGGAAAGAAGGATGAGGAGGATGAGCGATGAGGCGCATGGGCACCTGTCCCACTGGTGATGCCAGTCTCCTGGAAGAGCCGGCCTGAGAGGCACGATGGTCGCGAGCAGCACTAGGGGCCAGGGAGATCGTGGAGAAAGACTGTGGAGGTGTGTGTGTGTGTGTGTGTTTTTGCATACGGGTCTCTACAGGCGTGCCCGGTTTTCTTTTCGCTAACACACACACACACACACACACGCACAGACACCGTACGAGAAGGAGGAGGGAGCACGAGGGAGGAGGAGGGGGCGGAGAAGCGAGGGAGCGAGGACGAGGGCAGAGGAGGAGCTGCCCTTGCTTACCCCTTCCCTTGCCCCCCCCCGTCCCCCGCAGTCCTTCTCCCTCTTCCCGGTCCTCATCTCCCTCCCGCGTCTCCTCTGCCCCTGCATCCCCCCTCTTCCATTCCCCTCGCCCTCCCCCCCCGCCCACACACCCACACACACGGTCCAGCAATCGGCAGAGGCGCGCTTTCAACCCGAGCCCCCCCCCTCCTCCAACTCCGCTCCCCCAGGCCCTCCTCGCCCCTCGCTTGTCGCTCCTCCTGGCATCCACCTGCGTCCTCTCCCCCCGTATCCGACTTCATCGGCAACGTCGAGGCTGTCATCACAGATCCAGGATCAACATCGTGGAGTGGATCGCCATGGAGTCCTTGTCTGGCTGAAGCCTCCCCTTCCCTCGCTCCTCGAGCGTGCTTTTCTCCTGCCGCCCGATCGCCTTGACAGCTCGTGTGCGCAGTGGTCCGCAGCAAGGCGACAACTCTCCCCCCCCTCGTGCGTTCCCCCTCTCAGGAGGGAAAATTAGCCTGGCGAAGAACCCAGCCATATGCAGTTGTCAGTACCGCAGCTGCGGGCTTCATCTTCAGTGGAACTCCCCATAGGACCACGGAACGTGTGAGGGGTGTGCCGAGATGGGTGCCACTGGGGCATTCGGTGAAGCTCCCTATGGGGACATGAAACACGCGCGGGGCGTGCCGACATGGGTGGTGGAAACGCATGTGAGGGCCGCCACTGGGGCCTCCAGTGGAGCTCCCTATGGGTCCCCGAAACATAATGCTGCTGCGGGGGGGGGGCCGGGATGGGTGGCGGAGACGCATGTAAGCGCCGCTACTGGGGCCTTCGGTGGAGCTCCCGATGGGGCCACGAAGCGCGTGAGGGGTGTACTGGGATGTGTGTGGCGGGGACGCATGTGAGCGCCGCCACTGGGGCCTTCAGTGCAGCTCCCTATGGGCCCCCGAAACGTGTGAGGGGTGTGCCGAATTGGGCGCGGGTGGTGACGCATGCGGGCGGTGCCACTGGGGCCCTCGGTGGAGCTCCCTATGGGGCCACGAAACCTGTTGTTGTGAGGGGCGTGCCGGGATGGGTGGCGGGGATGCATGTGACGTGAGCGCGGCCGCTGGGGCCTTCGGTGGAGCTCCCGATGGGGCCACGAAACGTGTGAGGGGTGTGCAGAATTGGGCGGGTGTGGGTGACGCATGTGAGCGCCGCCACTGGGGCCTCCGGTGGATGATGGGGCCACGAAACCTGTGAGGGATGTGCCGACATGGGTGTGCGGGACGCGTGCGCATGTGAGCGCCGCCACTGGGGCCTTCGGTGGAGCTCCCCATGGAGCCACGAAACGTGTGAGGGGTGTGCCGAAATGGGTGTGCGGGACGCATGCGGGCGGCAGCACTGGGACCTTCGGTGGAGCTCCCTATGGGGCCACGAAACGTGTGAGGGATGTGCCGAGTTGGGTGTGCGGGACGCATGCGGGCGGCAGCACTGGGGCCTTCGGTGGAGCTTCCTATGGGGCCACGAAACGTGTGAGGGGTGTGCCGAATTGGGTGTGCGGGACGCGTGCGGGCGGCAGCGCTGGGGCCTTCGGTGGAGCTCCCTATGGGGCCACGAAGCGTGTGAGGGTGTGTGAATGGGTGTGCGGGACGCATGCGGGCGGCAGCACTGGGGCCTTCGGTGGAGCCCCCCATGGGGCCACGAACGTGTGAGGGGTGTGCCGAATTGGGTGTGCGGGACGCATAAGGGCAGCAGCAGGGGCCTTTGGTGGAGCTCCCTATGGGGCCACGAAACGTGTGAGGAGTGTGCCGAAATGGGTGTGCGGGACGCACGCGGGCGGCAGCATTGGGGCCTTCGGTGGAGCTCCGTATGGGGCCACGAAACGTGTGAGGGGTGTGCCGAATTGGGTGTGCGGGACGCATGCGGGCGGCAGCACTGGCCCCTTTGGTAGAGCTCCCCATGGAGCCACGAAACGTGTGAGGAGTGTGCCGAAGTGGGCGTGCGGGAAGCATGCGGGCGGCAGCACTGGGGCCTTCGGTGGAGCTCCCTATGGGGCCACGAAGCGTGTGAGGGGTGTGCCGAAGTGGGTGTGCGGGACGCATGCGGGCGGCAGCACTGGGGCCTTCGGTGGAGCTCCCTATAGGGGCCACGAAACGTGTGAGGGGTGTGCCGAATGGGTGTGCGGGGACGCATGCGGGCGGCAGCACTGGGGCCTTCGGTGGAGCTCCCTATGGGGCCACGAAACGTGTGAGGGGTGTGCCGAATTGGGTGTGCGGGACGCATGCGGGCGGCAGCACTGGGGCCTTCGGCGGAGCTCCTTATGGGGCCACGAAACGTGTGAGGGGTGTGCCGAATTGGGTGTGCGTGACGCATGCGGGCGGCAGCACTGGGGCCTTCGGCGGAGCTGCCTATGGGGCCACGAAACGTGTGAGGGGTGTGCCGAATTGGGTGCGCGTGACGCACGCGGGCGGCAGCACTGGGGCCTTCGGCAGAGCTCCCTATGGGGCCACGAGACGAGTAAGGGGTGTGCCGAATTGGGTGTGCGGGACGCATGCGGGCGGCAGCACTGGGGCCTTCGGTCGAGCTCCTATGGGGCCACGAAACGTGTGAGGGGTGTGCCGAATTGGGTGTGCGCATGCGTGGGGCAGCTGCTGCCTTGCTGGGGCCTTCGGCGGAGCTCTCTATGGGGCCACGAAACGTGTGAGGGGTATACCGCATTGGGCGTGCGTGACGCATGCGGGCGGCAGCATTGGGGCCTTCGGCGGAGCTCCTATGGGGCCACGAAACGTGTGAGGGGTGTGCCGAATTGTGGGTGACGCATGCGAGCGGCAGCACTGGGGCCTTCGGCGGAGCTCCTATGGGGCCACGAAGCGTGTGAGGGGTGTGCCGAATTGGGTGTGGGTGACGCATGTCGGCGGCAGCACTGGGGCCTTCGGTGGAGCTCCTATGGGGCCACGAAACGTGTGAGGGGTGTGCCGAATTGTGTGTGTGGGTGACGCTTGCGGGCGGCAGCATTGGGGCCTTCGGCGGAGCTCCTATGGGGCCACGAAATGTGTGAGGGGTGTGCCGAATTGGATGTGGGTGACGCATGCGGGCGGCAGCACTGGGGCCTTCGGCGGAGCTCCCTATGGGGCTACGAAGCGCTGTACTGGGTGGGTGAAACGCAGGGAAGAGGGGGAGGAGGGAGGAGGAGGGGGAGGAGGAGAGGAGAGGAGAGGAGAGGAGAGGACAGGACAGGACAGGAGAGGACAGGAGGACGCGGGGACCGTTTCTTCAAAACGAGGACCCAACACCACAGGATGGTTGGGAAAAAAATGAAAAAAGTGTGGGGCGCGCTCGACCGAACACGCGCGAACCCTAACGTGCGGGTCGGGTCGGGCGGGCGGACCCTAGATAGCGGGCGGGTCGAGTCGGGTCTGGCGGGCGGACCCTCAACGGGCGGGTCGGGTCGGGCGGGCGGGGCATTACAGTGTGGGGCGCGATCGACCGAGCACGCGCGAACCCTCACGGGCGGGTCGGGTCGGGCGGGCGGACCCTAGCGGGTGCATCGGGTCGGGCAGTTTCGCCGGCCGACGGCAGCTGGTTTCGCCGTCGGCAGTTTCGCCGACTGCAGCTGGTTTCGCCGACGGAGCTGGTTTCGCCGACGGATCGGGCTGGTTTCGCCGGGCGGCGAAACCAACCGGGCGAAACCAGCCGTCGGCGAAACCAGCGGTCGCCTGAAGACCAGGGCCTTACAGGGGCCCTCCAAGGCCCCTTCTGGGCCCCTGCTGGCGCCAAACGATGCCCCAAAGGGCCCCTTTCGGGCCCTCCTTTCCTTCATCCCCCATGTGGGTCGCCCCTCCATTGCCGCGCGTCCGAATGGGGGTGGGCGGCGCCAGAAGAGCGCGGAGAAGGCCGCGCGTCGCGAGGCGCGGAGCGCGATGTTAGGATGGTCGACCCGGGGGTCCGCGGAGGCACGGGCGACACGTTTTTGTTCGTCCCTCGAGATCCGAGAAGCCGCCGACTGTTGGCCGAAGGCCTCCGAAAGCCTCCGAAGAACTCCGCGGGCCGCCGAGGGCATCGGAAGATTTCCGGAGACCTCCGCGAGCTCCCACGAGCCTCCGAAGGCTTCCGCCGAGGGCCTGCGAGGGCCCCTCCCCCCCCGCAGGAAGCGGCGGAGGCACGTCCTGAGCCCCGCGGCGAACGGCGGGGACCCGTGCACCGACGACCTGATGGTCACCGCGTCCTGCGGCGCGGACGCCTGCCGCGGGCTCGGCGGGGCGCCGCCGCCGCCGGCCTGAGGGGGGCGAGGAGGAGGAGGAGGAGGAGGGATGGAGGGAGCACGGAGGGAAGAGGAGGAGCAGTGAGAGGAGGAGGAGGAGGAGGAAGAGGAGGTGGAGGAGGAGGAGCAGGAGGAGGAGGAGGAGGAGGAGGAGGAGGAGTGGAGGAGGAAGAAGAGGAAGAGGAGGAGGAGGAGGAGGAGGAGGAGGAGGATTGGAGGATTGGAGGATTGGAGGATTGGAGGAATGAAGGAATGAAGAAATTGAGGCAAGGAGGAAAGGAGGAATAGAGGAATGGAGGAGGAGGGGGAGGTGGAGGAGGAGGAGGAGGAGGAGGAGGAGGAGGAGGGAGGAGGAGGAGGAGAAGGAGGAGGAGGAGGAGGGAGGAGGAGGAGGAGGAGGAGGAGGAGGAGGAGGGAGGAGGAGGAGGAGGAGGAGGATAATGGATGGGGGCGGGGAGGTGTTGTTTGCCGGACCCATCATTTCGTTGGCATCGACAGAATTGAAGAGGAGAATGGGCAGATAAAGATTCAGATGAGGAGGACGAGGACGATGACGATGAGGAGGAGGAGGCAGTCGGATGTAGTAGCAAGGGGAGAGGGGTGGAAGTTTGATCATTCGCGATGTGCTGGTCCCTACCCGACGCCCGACTGCGGGCCTTTCTACTTTTCATCTCCCCCCTCTCAATCGGTGGGACCAGCAAGGGTGGGCGATTCGATTCCACCTTAATAGCTCCCGGGGTAAACACGCTTGATGAATTCTTGCACGTGAGCTCGAATGCCTCGGGGGAAGAAACAGGTTCTGGGCTAAGCGCTTTTGTTTGCTCACGCACGCGGGCGTTTCATCATTATCCTGATTAGCATCACCACCATCATCATCATCTTCATCATCATCATCAGCAGCATCATTATCCTTAGCCATTTTGGTTCAAGCCATTTTGGCTCAAGGTCGAAGTGTTTCCCTGGTCGCAGCCGACGGGGAGCTCAAGCTTCTTTGAGAGGCGCAGTGCCTCTACTCCTTTTTGGCCGGACATTTTACCTGTTTCGCCCTAAGCATACCTCCTTTCGGCGTGGCGTCCGCGGATGCAACCCCAGCCTGGACGCAAGGCTTGCTGCTGACGGTCACCAACATCGACTCGCGCATGGCAGCCCCCTCGCAGGACGTCAGCGGCCATATCGGTGCGCTCCGTGAGGACATGAACGCCGCAGTTGCTCGCATGGACATCCTCGAAGCCCAGCTGAGCAACCTTGAGGAGGACTCCGACTCGGCGATGCGTGGTGCTGAAGGTGTGTCTCAGCGTGTTGCTCGTCTGGTCCAGCTTGAAAGTACGGTGCAGTCGATCCAGCAGACGCTCACGGAGCTCTCTCATGATCGTGATTGTGATCATGTTGACCCTGAAGTGCCACCTGGCCATAGGCGTCAGGTTCGCAGTCCTGGATCATCACGTTCGACTGCCACGGGCTCGGTCCGGCGGGCACACACCAGGATGGAGCATGCAGGCTTGTCTTGCTGGGCTCTCCCGCCGAGTGATGGCCAGCACTTTGCGGCGCGCGGCGGTGCAAGTTCGTCTTCAGTCCTCTCCACTGGCGGATCACAGCAAGTGTATCATCAAGACCGCCCACGTGAACCGCAAGGCCATAGTTGACTTCTCTGACGCACACGCGCGCAGCACCTGCATCTCCAACTTCGACCAGAACCCGACGTCCCCAGACCCTCGTGGTGGCCAGCCTTTCTCTGTCAAAGTTCGTCGCGGCCTTGACACGCGCAGCAGGAAACTCTGCCTGGTCATGGGAAAACCGAGGAACAAGATCGATAGCATCCTCCATAGCCCTGGATAGGTTGTCGGTTCCAACGGCCTCGGCGGGGGGCATCTATGCGTTGCGATCAGCCGAAGACCCCGTTCGTTTCGCCCACCTCACGCCGAGTGACGTCAACGATGATGTAGATGTGGATATTAAAGGAGAGTGCGCCCCCTGAGCTTGGCTTAGATCAGCATGCTGACGCCCTCCTCCAGGCAGCGAAAAATGCCGCCCGTCGTCCCTTTTGATATGGCACGCTGCGGCTCTGGCAGCACACAACAGAAGTAATTCAGATGTGGTGCTCAGCTCTAGCTTTCGTAGCGATTGTATGTTTAGCAAGTCTTCGTTTCCTCACTCCTCTTCCTCGCCCCCCACTTCGTCGAGATCTATTTCGCTATCGTCGATTTCGGCTTCTCCGTTCTTAACGAAGTCTACGGTACCCTATGTTACATGAGATACGCAATGTCTGTTTGTGGCTGCGGGATGTTGCGGCAGGAATGCTTCTAGCCGGTACTCCCAGCTCCTGAACTTAGAGGAAAATCGTAGTGCTGCGCGTGCTCAGAAAACGCACGTGCACGACGGGGATGCTAGGGAGGTCGAGTGTCAGCGTCGTGGGAGCAGCGTTGGCTTTTCAGCGCATGCGGAGGCTAACGCTGGTGGCGTCCTTATTGTCCTCAATGCTCAGCTTGTTTTTCAGTTTCGCTCCATCTCTCACCATGCCGTCATTCCTGGTCGCACCCTACTCTCTCGCTGCGTGGGTCCACTCGGCATGACGTGCAGTGTGAATTGCCACATGCCCAACTCCAGTGTTGGCACCCCGCTGTGCCGCTCTACCTTGAATGCCATTATTGCTGCTCTGCCGCCAGCCACGACGTCGTTCAATTTGATTGGAGGGACTGGAACTTTACTCTTGAGGAGGAGGGGCGGATGGGGGATGATGGTCTCACGTGGCAGAGTGGCGACCGCCTGCGCCGTGATCGATTTAACCAGCTGCGCGGCAGCTGCATTGAGTTTGCCCAGGATGAGCGCACTCGCCAAGGACGAAATCGCTCGCGAGAGACGCACTCGCCCCGACTGGATAGTTGCACTCGGATCTCCCCAGTGCCTTTCTGCGGGATTCTCACCATGCAGTCCAAAGTTTGGGATCGTCTCCGAGGTCGCACACCATCTGATCACCGCCCACTCGTCGCTACCTTCCAGCGTTATGTTCCTTGGGGGGGGGCTCACTTGTCATCGGCGCTGTTTTTTGCGCATTCGCCTATGTGCCGGCGTCTGGCGCGCGGGCGCCTAATTGCCACTCCCGGTGGCCTGAGTCGTCATGCGCGTCACGCAGCAGCGAAGCATATTTTTCGTGCACGGGCACTGCCCGCACGTGCTCTCATCAAGCATAGACCCGCGCGCACATGTGCGGAACAGCATTATTGGTGCATGCGCGCGATTCGTGATGTTCGATATGGTCGTTTGCACATGCGCATTGCTGCTACTCGCACGCATGCCACGCTCGTGCGGTACTTTAACATCGAAGCTGAGTTGCGCGCGGACATCTCAGCTCTCTCATGCTAGTGGGTTTCAGGTTGCTGTGCTCCGCGAGGCAAAGACGGCGCTCGAAGCCCGCGCCGCAGCTGAGAGTCTCGAGGAGGAAGCATGCATGTATTCAGCGACAACTGAACCGAGTTCGCCGTGAACGCCATACGCGGGCCCAACTTCGCCGTTGCCTCTATCTCAAAGGCGCCCGGGGCCCCGAAGGTTCCCCCGCCTTGCCCGGGGAGATTCTGGACAAGCCCTGGCCCATCATTGGGGAAGTGTTTCTCGTGCTGTTCTCACTGGCCGCGGCCTGTGGGATGAGATTCGCGGTCTCTGTCCACGGGCCCAGGATCTGGACGCGTTTCCTCGGTGGTCTTTTGGAGCGCGATTATTTCAACGCGTTGCTCATGGGAAGGCGCAGCGCGGCCCCTGGGCCGGGCGGTGTCCAATGCGCATGTTGGGCCATGTCTGAAGGCCTTGGTATTGCGTGCGATCTGTAGCAGGATATGCCTACTACATCCAGCGTGCGCGCGTCGTCCAGCACGCAGGAGATGCCCCCAGCATTCCCGCCAAAAAGAAAGCACTCGGCTGACGCGGCCACAGGTGCATGCCGTTCGCCTGAGTGTACTCGGCCTCTTTCGCTCTCTGACACCGATTGCATGTCGCCCTCGCTCGCGTTCGCGCGCCGTTTGAACGCCGTCGCTGCAGCCTCTGTCGATTGCAGTCAGAAGGACGGGGGCCACGGGAAGGGGCGCGCCCTTTAACGTCGCCGAAGCGGAAGCATAGGTCCTGGACATGCGGGGCGCGGACCAGAGGCATGCAGTTGAGTTATTGACGGTTTTGCCCGATGCTTCCCCGCCCATGTCATTGCGCGGCGGATACTTGCAGCGCCCTTCGCCATGGGCGCGCCGCCCGCCATCGCGCAACAAAGCCTGGATCACTCTAAGGGAGAAAAGGCTGAGCCTGAGATTGATCGAGCGAGGCGTTCGCCAGGGCGGCCCTGCATCGATGGTCGTTCCCGCGCTCTCTACCGACCCGATTGCTAGATGGCTGATCTGGCGTAGTGGAAGACACCTAGCTCGGGTGCGGGCTTATGCTGACGCATGGCTTTTCATTCTTACGAATGTCCTCAATGACTTCCCTCGGCTCCTCCACCTCGTCGGCCTTCTTGGTAGCGGTGTCGGCTTGCGTCTCAACTTCAAGAAGTACGTGGCTCTCCTGGTTGGCAATGCTACGTGTGATTCATTTTCGCTGGAAGTTTTGCGAGGGCCTGGGGGGGCCGTGTTCGGCACTTTCGATTGTGAAGTTATGCAGGTATCTCGGGGTCTCGATTGGCCCTGAAGCCTGGAAACATCAGTGGGAATAGGTTATGCCTGCTTTTGTCGGCCGTTACCGTCGTTCTCTTCGCCAGCAGGGGTCGAGCCTCTGCCAGGCCATCTCTACCTACCAGAGCCCGTGCATCTCGCAGTTGCAGTTTACGCTTCAGTGCCACTCCCCGTCGGCGCCGCCGGTTGCAAGCAACGGGCGCGCCATGCAGCTTTTGAGCGCCAGGCGCAGCTTCTCTCAGCATATGGCCACAGGTCTCAAGGCCCTTGGTCTTACGATTGAATTCCCGAACTTGCAGAGTATAGGATATGCATGCCAGTTGCGGTCGTGGTCCAAGTGCCGTCCACTACGGCCTGCGCTCGAGCGACTCCAGCACGTGCTTGAGAGTGATGACATGTGTATTGCGCGCGGCCTCCCTGGTTGGTGGAAGAAGAGTTGTTGGCAGACATCCAGACTGCAGCGAATCTGTTCGCCTCCATATTTGCCTCGCTACCCTCTGAGATTAGTCCGAAGTCCATTCAAAGGTTTTATGATCGCAAGCTCCTCGAAGCCCTCCCCGTGGACCTCAAATACTGCGTCAAGAGTGGTCCCCCTCCCCCCGCGCCCCACAAAGTCTTTCTACGTGGAGAAGCAACGTCGCCCCGCACACCGTCATGACTCCTTGATCAATCGTGTTCGCTACGTTGTGAACAAGGTCCCGTGGGTACCTTGGGCCGTTGTGAAAATGGTCCCGTGGGTACCTTGGGCTTGCGGTGCCAGGCCTTGCGTGTCGTGGTGCCTGCACCACCTCTAGAGTTCATTGTGCTCCGCGACGATGTGTCTGGGGCTGTCCGAGCCCTTTCATGTGTGCATCTGGACGATCTCAAGCACTGGGACGTGTGCCCGAAGTTGCGTGCGCCTTTCCTGATCACGATGGTGGTGATTGGTTGTCTATGCTGATATTGACCTCCTCCCTCGTCCCCTCCCCTTCTGCAATGCTTCGATCTGCTAGCTGCTGTGATGCCGTTGTCCATGCGCACGCGGCTGTGCGGATGGGCAGCCATGTGATTGTTGAGCAAGCTTTTTCTGCATGAGTGCGCCTCCACTCGAGACGCCACGAGGCCATCAGACGTGCTTGGGGTGAAGTACGAAACATTTCAAAAGGGCAGATGTCCGCAATGCCGGTTAACAAATCATCAACAGCATCATCATCCTCATCATCACCATTTCCACCATCTCCATCACCATCATAATCCATATCACCATTTTCGGTATCATCATCGCCACCATCATCGTCATCATCAGCAGCATCATCACCAGCATCAGCATCATCATCATCATCATCGTCGTCCTCAGTATCACCAACACCGTCACTATCCATCGTCATCGGCTCACCTGAATCATCCTCGTCAGCATCAACAGCACCATCATCATCACCACCACCAGCATCATCATCAACATCAGCATCCGCATCAACGCCAACTTCACCAGCATTATGACCACCACCACAGCCACCACCAACATCAGTACCATCACTATCCATCGTCATCGGCATCACCCGAATCATCAGCGTCAGCATCATCATCATCATCATCGTCATCAGCATTATCGTCAGCAGCAGCGGCGTCAGCATCAGCATCAACAGCATCATCACCACCATCAGCATCATCACCACCATCAACATCATCACCAGCAGCATCAACATCACTGCGTCCTTCGCATCTCCCAAACGACGCCCCAGGCATTCGATCGGGGTTGGCAAGGGGGGTGGTCGGGGCGCATCCGAGGCAACGCGTCGGCGACCTGCAAGGACTGCGAGTGGGGCGAATGGAGCGAATGGGGCGACTGCTCCTGCGCAGGCCCACGGGCGCGGCGTCGCCGCCCAGACGGATGGTGAGGAAGAGACTCGGACGAGGACGACGACGACGACGACGAGGAGGAGTAGGAGGACGAGGAGGACGAGGAGGAGGAGGAGGAGGAGGACGAGGAGGAGGAGGAGGACGAGGAGGAGGGGAGGAAGAGGAGGGGGAGGAGAACGAGGAGGAGGAGAACTCGGAGGAGGAGGAGGAGGAGGACGAGGAGGACACGGAGGAGGAGGAGGCGGAGGCGGAAGAGAAGGAGGAGGAGGAGGAGGAGTAGCAGGAGGAGGAGGAGGATGAAGAGGAGGAGGCGGATGTCGAGGAGGAGGAGGAGGAGGAGGACAATGATGAGGAGGAGGAGTAGGAGGAGGAGGTGGAGGAGGAGGACGAGAAGAAGGAGGAGAGGCCGGGTGATGGTGAAGACCCTCGTCGTTTTGATATGGTTTTCACCGAGTGGAACGCTCCTTCATCTCTACAAACTTTGATGTTGTGTTGTCATGTTAAGTTCGCCGTGGTCCGCTCATAACATGCTTCTCTCGTTATATCGTTATCTCGTGTTCTCTCTCTCTCTCTCTCTTTCTCTGTCTTGGTCTCTCTCCCTCTTTTCTCTCTCTCTCTCTCTCTCTGTGTTTATCTCCTGCACCAGGCCAACGCATGCCGATGCGACACCAATCCATTGCCAACAAATGCCAGCGCCAATGCAATGTGAATGGGGGAATCCTTTCGCTCCGTGGATTTCAATCAGGGTCCTTTTTGTGGACGGTGTCATTACGAGTCCTTCCTCGAAGGATTTCAATCGGAATGCCTCTGTGGAGGGTTTCGATACGGATCTTCCGGTGGAGGGTTTCGCTAGGAATCCTTCTTGTGGGGGGTTCAGTAGGAGTCCTTCTGCGGAGGGGGCCATATGACTCGCCAGCGCAATGCCAACGCAATGCCGAAGCAGTGCCATCGCAATGCCGAAGCAGTGCCATCGCAATGCCAATGGAATGCCAATGCCATGCCAATGCGGAGGAGCCTTTGTTGTAGATGTTAAAAGAAATCCTATTTCTGGGGGGGTCAATCGGAATCGTTGTGCGACGGGAGGCAGAAGGACTCGCTAGCGCAATGCCAACGCAGTGCCCAATCCAATGCCAATGGGGGAATCCTTTCGCTCGGTGGATTTCAATCAGAATCCTTTGTGTCCGTCACTGGGGGGATGTTGAGGACTCCGACTCTGAGGGCGGTGGACGATGTGTTCGCTCGAAGGTTGCTTTTGATCCTGTCCAACACGGGCGTTCTCCTGACCAGATGTTTCTTGATCGGGCCGCCTCAGCCATCGTGATACCAGGTCGCGAAGGCCCTGCGTTCAGGCCCGGCAAGCGTAGAAGGATAGACAGCAAGGGCGGGAACTACAGGCCCGCCCTCGGCGCATGCACGGCTCTGCCATTGCCCCCCCCCCCCCCCCCGAGGGGCTGTCCCCGCGGAGGCTGCCAGGGGCCGTCGGCCCCCCTGGGCGGCCCTGTCCCACGTGGTGTTGCTCGTTTCGTGCGGGTTCTACACTACGGGCACGGCGGGGCACCTCCTGTTGGATTGCTCCTCTGGCACCGTAGGCCATCGCCTCTCTGAGGGGGCCCACAGGAATCGTCGGCAGTTTTTTGGCTGGGCTTCATCCCGCGGATGGAAGGCGAGGGGATTCTCGGAGAATCTCCGCCCCTCGGCCCCTTTTGGGCGCGGACCCCGAGGCTCACTGGGTCAGGCTCTTGCAGGGCCAAAAGTGTGGGGCCGAGGCGGGGAGCAGCGCAGGTGGTGCGCACTTTACTTGATCGCACCTTGCCTGCTCTCCTTCCTCTTTCCCCTTTTCCTTTCTTCTGCCTGCGCCTCGCCCCGTGGTCCTCTCGGTGGGGGTGTGGCGGATGCCAGGCGCGGGGCGGTCACGCGTGATTGCTCCTTTTTTCGAGCTCGCCTGGCGCCCTGTTGGAGCGCGGCGTCCGCCAGCTAGTGCCGCTTCCTCCTCTTCCTCCTCCTCCTCCTCATCGGCCTGCCCCCTCCCGTAACGCAGAAACCAGCACAAACACGATCGGAGTGGGGACCGGCGCGTGCTCTCGATAGAAACAAACAAGCTTCGCCCGGGGACATTCACTCAGTGGAGAGGGGTCCAATTTGGTTTGAGTGTCCTTCGCTGTCTGCGTTGTGGTACCACTGAAGCAGTATCGGTCGTAGTGGGTCCGGCGAAGCACAAGTGATCAACAAACAGGGTGGCAGTCGGGTAGCACTTGGGTCATTTGAGCGTTGGGATTGCGGACATGACCCAAGTGGTGCCACTTGGGTCATGCCTGTCGAAGTGGCTTTTGATATGGCTCACTTGGCACCAATCAGATGTTTGTCGTTTCGACCTTAGCCCCATGGTAGCGTACTCAAAATCAGTCGAGAACCACGTTTGGCATATCGGTCTTAGTCGGCTCTGATATGACTTAAGTGGTAAACTATTGGCCTCATGGCTGGCCTCTCGGACAATTGTTCGGGGCCTCTTGGTAGCCTTATGAGGGTATGTTGGACGGCTCTTGGGGGCCCCTTCCTTGGGGGTTCATGGGGTGCCTCATGCGGCCTCTTGGGGGCTTATTTGATGCATGTTGGGGCCTCCTTGGGGGTGCGCCTCAATGGTCAATGGCCTCTGGGGGCCTCCTGGGGTCACCTTTGGGTGGAGGTCTCGACATGGATCTCATGGATCTCATGGTCTAGTGGGGCGGCCCCTCTTGGGTGTCTCTTGGGCACTGTTCGGAGGAACTTATCGGTAGAACCGTTATTTGGGCCGTATTGGTGCGTTGCAGGCCCTGACGCAAGCGTGTCAGGGCAATCAAAGGTTGTCGTTCCTTCGAGCCCTTTTGCGGGTCATCTTGGGGCCTTCTTCGGGCGTCTTGGGGGCCTCTAGCGCTGTCTTGACACCATGGTGGGCCGTCATGGAGCGCTCTTTGGCAGCCTCGGGGTCCTGTTTGACCGTCTGGGGCCTCCTGGCGGGCAACGTGCAGCGGCAAAGCCCAAATGGTCTGCGGTGGCTGGCGGGGACGCCCAAGAACTCTGCGACATCGGGGGTCTGGGCCTCTGAGTGCTCAGAGTTCAGTGTTGGATATGCTTGTGGACCTGAGGACGCTCCACGCAGGTTCCTCGCGGCACAGTGGCGGACATGAGTTCGACGATGTGGTGATAGCACCGTCTCACCCTTTCGCAGTCGAGTTACGCCGCGTCCCTGTTACGCCGCGCATGTTGCGACGTCGGCGTCAGGCAGTCCGTCGTCGACCGCGTGTGGCCTGAGGCAGGTCGGGCGGAGAGGGGAGGGAGGAGCGGACGGGGAGGGGAGGCGGGCGGAAGGGGAGTGCGCAGAGCCGTGCAGTGGGCAGACTGTCCCTCCGCCTCGCCGCGCTGGCCACCAGCATCGCCACGTGCGCGTCCCGCGCTCCCCACGCCCGCTCTCCCCTTCATCCCCATCCTGCTCATGCTGCGCCTCGTGCTGTTCCTTCCCCTCCTCCTTCTCCTCCTCCTCCTCCTCCTCCTTCTCCTCCTCCTCTTCTTTCATACTCCTCCTCCTCCCCCTCCTCTTTCATACTCCTCCTCCTCCTCCGCCTCCTCCTCCTCGTAGTCCTCCTCCTTCTTCTCCTCTTCCTCCTCCTCCGGCTCCTCCTCCTCCTCCTCCTCCTCCTCCTCCTCCTCCTCGTAGTTCTCCTCCTCGTCGCGCTGCGCTCTCCATACATTCCCTCCGATCGTCACGCCCTTCTCGCCATCAGTCTCTGGTTTGAACCCATGTCTTCCTCCAGTCTGCTCCGACGTCGTGCGCAGAGGCCGTGGCCACTTGGGTTCCAGGCTGTCTCTTCCGCAGGTGCGAGCCATCCCTGGAGGAAGGTCAACGGCGTGATGGTGGGAACGATTTCCGTGCATCTCTCCGCGGGAACGTTTCCTTGAATGTTTTCCGTGAGACCTTGAGACTTTCGGCCTGGAAGGCCGCGTCGAATCACCACGACGGTCGGGGTTGAGAACACGGTGCTGAGAAGTCAGATTTGCACAGATTTGAGAGCCATGGCCAAGACGGGAACTAAATTAGCCTGACGAAGGACCCAACCATATGCAGGTGTGAGCACCGCAATTGTGATTCCCTTTTTCGGTGGCGATCCCTATGAGGCAACGAACCGTGCTAGGGGTGTTCCGAAATGAGTGGCGTGGTACACAACGCGAACGAAAACGATTGATTTGAGTACGTAGGGGGACTGAGCGCGGGTGAATCTGAGCGCGAGTGCGTCTGACTGTGAATGAATCTGCGTGCGAGCGAATCTACGTGCATGAATGCGAGTATGACAAAGCATGGTGCGATTGAATATGAATGACAATAGTTTGAGAATGACTGCCTCTGAATACTCGTGACGCTGAGCGTGGCCGCCGCAAGGAGCTTCCCCGGGACTCCCCGACGGCATCGCCCGCGCGCCGCGACGCCACCGCGAGGATCGCGCCCGTTTCCTCCCCTTTTTTTTTCCCCTCTTTGCCCGCGCACTCAAAAGTCCAAGGCTGCGGGCGCAGCGCAGCGCGGAGTCCCAGCGACGCGCGCAGGTCGGCCCGGAGGGGTCCCAGCGACGCGCGCGGGTCGTCCGCTGCGCGCAGCAAAGAAAGCTAGCTGGCTGGCCGATAGCGGGCAAGGCTCCTGCCGCCGGGCAGAGCGACGACGGGCGAGCGAGGCGCGGAACTCCGACGGCCACCGACGGAGGTGTGCTAGGTGAGGGAAACGCATGCGGACTGCGCCACGGGGACCTTCGGTGCAGCTCCCTATAGGGGCCACGAAACGTGTGAGGGGTGTGCCAAAATGGGTGCGCGGGACGCATGCGGGCACACCCATTGGGGCCTTCGGTGGAGCTCCCCATGGGGCCCCGAAACGTGTGAGGGATGTACCGAAATGGGTGTGCGGGACGCATGCGGGCACACCCAGTGGAACCTTCGGTGGACCTCCCTATGGGGCCACGAAGCGTGTGAAGGGTGTACCG